GTATAGATTGATGTCACTATGTAAACCTAATGTGTCAGAACAAATGTTTCTGAGGCACTGAAGTACCTTCTGAATTATCCCAGGCCACTGAGAGAAGCTAATGAAATGCTGGCCAAACCACAGAGCAGCGATGAAGTTGGGTATAACTAATTGTATGATTTCTCTCAGGGTATACGTATAGTGGTATAATAATAGAGAAAATGAGCACTGAGGGCTGTTAGTGCCCAGAATCGGTGACAGTTTGGGGAACTGGCACACCTCTCTGGTAATATGAGTGTTACTCTTCTGAGGAACATTTTACAGTACGTATCAAGAACCAGCAATTCCATCTTTAAGAATTTATCTTAAGGGAGGAATTATGGATGTGTATAGAAATTTAGCTCCAAGGATATTCTTCTAGTAGTAGTACTATCTTTAAAATGAAAATACTGAGAAAAGCATAAAAATAGGGAATAACTCTTAAGTTATGGTACAGCCATCAATTGATTATGTATTGATATTTTTCAGTCTAATTCCAACTATTTCCATATCCATATAGGGCTGGAGTGGGGGCTGACTTTAAACCTACATAGGTTTCCACAGAACAGTATAGAACTTTGTACATAGGAGTAGGATGGACCCATATCTTTGATTTGCTCCTTTTACTTAATCTGCATATTATGCCTTTTATTCATATACATATATATATTTTAATCCTTACCCAAGGATATGTTTATTGATTTTAGAGAGAGAATGAGAGAGGAAGAGAAAGAAACATTGATGTGAGAGAGAAACATCGATCAGTTGTCTCCTGTACGTGACCCGACTGGGGATTGAACCCACAACCTAGGTATGTGCCCTGACCAGGAATTAAACCTGCAACCTTTTTGGTGTATGGGACGACGCTCCAATCAACTGCGCTAGCCTGCCAGGGCTTACATATTTTTTATTTTATTTATTTAAAAAAAATTTTTTTCCCCATTTATTGATTTGAGAGAGAGAGGAAGAGAGAGAGAGAGATAGAAACATCGATGAGCATGAACATTGATTGGCCACTTCCTACATGCCCCCTAGTGGGTATCGGGCCCACAGCCTGGGCGTGTGCTCTGACCAGGAATCAAACCTGCAGCCTCATAGTGCATGGATTGACGCTCAACCACTGAGCCACACCAGCTGGCTATTGTATTAATTTTTTTATTTTTAAACATCTTTTTTTTTTTTTTTCCTCACCCAAGGACATTTTTGCATTTACCTTCAGATAGAATGGGAGGGAAAGAAGGAGGGGGGGAGAGAAACATCAATGTGAGAGAGACACATTAAGTGGTTGCCACCCATGCGACCCCAACCAGGGCCAGGGACAAACTGCAACCGAGGTACGTGCCCTTAGCAGGAACCGAACCCCGGACTCTCTGGTTCGTGGGCCGACGCTCTTACTGCTGAGCTAAACCGGCCAGGGCTTAAACTTATCTTTATTGTTGAATGTATTATAGATGTCCTTCTCCCCCACCTCCATCCCCTCCTCTCTAATCCTGCCCCCCTTCTACTTTCTCCACACTGTTGCTGTGTCTATTGGTTATGTATATATGCATGTAAGTTCTTTGGCTTCTCTCTTCCCACCCCACCTCCCCGCTTCCATTTGAGGTTCATCAGTCTAACAACTAATTTGTACTTCCTAATCCCTTCATTTTTTTCACCCAACTCCCCTTCCATCTGGCAACCACAAAAAGCTCTCTGTATCTGAGTCTGTTTCTGTTCTGCTTGCTCATTTTGTTTGTAGAGTCAATTGTTGATAGATATGTATTTATTGCCATTTTATTGTTCTTATTTTTTTATCTTTTTCGAGAAGACCGGTCAACATTTCATATAATACTGGTTTGGTGGTGATGAACTCCTTTAGCTTTTTCTAGTCTGGGAAGCCTTTATATGGCCATTGATTCTAAATGATAGCTTTGCAGGGTAGAGTAATCTTGGTTGTAGGTCCCTGCTTTTTTTCACTTTAAATATTTCTTGCCACTCCCTCTTGGCCTGCAGAGTTTCTTTTGAGAAATCGGCTGACAGCCTTATGGGAGCTTCATTGTAGGTAACTAACTGCTTTTCCCTTGCTGCTTTTAAAATTCTCTCTTTGTGTTTAACCTTTGGCAGTTTGATGATGATGTGTCTTGGTGTGGGCCTCTTGGGGTTCATCTTGTTTGGGACTCTCTGTGCTTCCTGTACTTGTATGTCTGTTTCCTTCACCAAGTTAGGAAAGTTTTCTGCCATTATTGTTTCAAACAGGTTTTTAATTTCTTGCCCTGTCTCTTCTCCTTCTGGCACTCCCATGATGCGAATGTTGGTATGCTTAAAGTTGTCCCACAGGCTCTTTATACACCTCATTTTTTTAAAATTCTTTTTTTCTTTTTGCTGTTCTGATTCGGTGTTTTTTGCTTCCTGATATTCCAAATTAATGGTTTGCTTTTTGACTTCACCTACTCTTCTATTGATTCCCTGTAAATTATTCTTTATTTCAGTTAGTGCATCCTTCATTTCTGACTGGTCCTTGCTCTTGAGGCCTCACTAAGTTCATTGAGTGTCCTTGTAAGCAGTGTTTTGAACTCTGCATCTGTTAGATTGCTTATTTCCATTTCATTTAGGGTTTTTTTGGGGAGTTTTGTTCTGTTTTTTCATTTGGGACACGTTTCTTTGTCTGCTCATTTTGGCTGCCTCTCTGCGTTCGTTTCTATGTATTAGGAAGAGTTGCTATGTCTCCTAGGCATCTTAGGATGGCCTGTTGTAGTAGGTGTCCTGTAGGGTCCAGTGGCACAGCCTCCCTGATCACCCAGCTGGGCCCTCAAGGTACACTCCTTATGTGGACTTTACATCCTTCTGTTGTATTTGAGTCTTGATTGCTGTTGGCACGTCAGTAGGAGGGTTTTACTCAAGCTGGTCAGCTGCAACACTGACCTCTGATTACCTTGGAGGATCAGCTGTGCATGGGCCCGCCACACAGAGCCAGACTTACTTCAGTAGTGTGCTGGTACCCCCTGAGTTCATTTCTTGAGTGTGTCAGTTGTGGAGGTGGTTGGATGGTGGTGCTTCAACATGGTCTGAAGCTGTCCATTGGGTGTGCTGGCTCTGGGGCAAGGGCAGCCACTGCCTGTGTTCTACCTGGGGCCACCAGGCTTAAGCTACAAAGTGATCTGCTGATGGCTGCTTCTAGTGCCGGCATGGGGCCACTTAGCAAGAGGTAAAGGGCTCGCTGTGGCCAGATGCTGCTTGAGAGAATTTAGGAAAATCTGAAGCAGCAGCCAAAACAGGTCAGTCCTATGGTAAAGCCACTGGAAACAGCTTAGGTGGGCCTGAAAGTTGGGTGGGGCAGGGCCTCAGGGAATCACTAGGGCTGGACAAACAGTCTGAGCCAGGTTGCTGGAGTCCCAGATATGGCTGCCCTCTGCCTGCCCTCTGTGGGGGAAGGTTCACCAAAGGAACAAGGGCCTCCGCCAGCACCTTTGTCCAGAAGAAAGTTGCCTCTCCAGTCCTTGTCCTGATGCCAAACAACTCAGTTCTTCCTTGTAGATCTCTGGTGCCTTTCAAGCTGCCTCCCCTCTGTACTGGAGCTCAGAGGGAGGTGGTTCAAGTAAGTCTGTGTGTGGGCTGGGCCCTTTAAGAGGAACTGCCTGGGGCTCTAGCAGCCTCAGCCTCCCTCAGCTTCAGTTCCTGCTGGTTTTACAGCCAGAAGTGATGCGGACTTCTCTTCTTGGCACTGGAACCCTGAGCTGGGTGCTTGGTGTGAGACGGGGATCCCTCTCTCCTGAGGGAGGACCTTCACAGCCAAGGTGTCCTCCTGATTGTGTCCGCCACATGTGGGTGTGGGATCAGCCTGTCTGTGCCTCTGCCACTCCTACTAGTCTCAATGTGGCTGCTGCTTTAATTTTGTAGTTGTAGGACTTCCATTCAGGTTGATTTCAGGTGATTCTGGAGCATAGTTGTTCTGTAAATTAGTTGTAATTTTGATGTGGTTGTGGGAGGAGGCAAGTAACTGCGTTTACCTACGCCCCCATCTTGACCGAGAGTCTTATATATTTTTTAAAGTCCTTTTTTTTTCTTATGCCCAGGAACAATATTTTTATGAAAATAAGGAGAGAAAACCTTTATTTGGCAAAACTGTATTGAGTTCTTACTATATATAAGATACTGTTCTAAGCACCTTGACGGATGTAGTATACACAAATGAGTAAAATCCATCCTTCAGGAATTTACAGTCTACTAGGAGGGACATTTGCGTAGTTAACTAATAAAATTGGATGGTGAACAAAGCACTGTGGCTTTGGAGAGGCAACAATTATGTATTATAGGTAGAAGTCGGGAAAGAGTTTATAGAGAATTGAATTGGACTTTGAATGATGAGTAAGATTTTGGTTAGTAGATATAAAATTTAATGTATGTGTTTCATAAATTGAGTTGTGTGGGACAGAGAGAGAGTAAATTGGATTGGGTTATTCAGGGCAGAGAGAGAGAGTCAATTAGATGGAGGGAAAAATAAAATATTGAATTTAAAACTCCTAACAGTGCATGGCATATTGTGGGTCTTCAAACTTTGCCTCTTTCTAATTGCACCATATTTATCTTAAAGGAGTATTTACAGCTTACCAAAAAGAACAGTTAACTTAGTTTGATTTGAAGTAAGAAGACATGGGCAATGCCCTGGCCGGTTTGGCTCAGCAGTTAGAGCGTTGACCTGCAGTCCAGAGAGACCCAGGTTCAGTTCCTGCTAAGGGTGCATACCTTGGTTGCTGTTTGTCCCCGGCCCTGGTCGGTCGTGCGGGTGGCAACCACTCGATGTGTCCCTTTCATGTCAATGTTTCTCTCTCTCTCTCCCTCCCACTCTATCTGAACAAAAAAATGGGAAAATGTCCTCAGGTGAGGATAAAAAATTAAAAAATAAAAGACATGTGCAGTCAAGTTTTTGAACCATTTCTTTACTTGTAGTTGTCCTGTTGAGAAAAGTGACACTAATACTGGAAAACTTGCTCTTCTGTGCCAAGGTGGAGACAATGTCACAAGTTAAATCCTCTTACTCCTATGATGCTCCCATGGACTTCATCAATTTTACATCTTTGAGTGATGAGGAAGATCCCCAAAACATAGATTCTTGGTTTGGTAAGTGTCTTCTTTCTCTGGTCTTTTTAAGGGTTAATGGCTTGCTTTACTCTGAGGACCTTTCAAAAAAGAAGGGGGGGTTGCAAGTAAATAACTAAAATATACATTTCTGTCTGCACCAAGATACTTTGTCCATGATATGAGAGAAATAATTGAAATGCCCTATAAATTGGGAATGCGCTATCAGTATAAGACAATGTTATTTTTCGGTTAAGAATGACAAATAATTTAAACTTCAGGACTATATAGGGAAATACAGAAATCTATATTTTCCTTAAAATATGATGATGCAAAGTTTAGTGAAACTCGAGGACTCAAAAACATGTCTGTAAGTGATAGCAGCCGCATAAAAACTTGCTCTACTCGTCACTGGGCACAGAGTATAATACTACAACTAGGATATTGGCATTGATACAATCCATCAATCTTACTCAGATTTCCCTTGTACTTGTACTCTTTTTTGTTTATGTGTATTAAATTCTTTGCAATTTTATCACCAGTGTAGGTTTGCGGATCTACCACCACAGTCAAGGTATTAAATGGTTCTCACATCACAAGGATCCTTTTGTTGCCCTTTTATAACTAACTACACTCACCTCCTTCCTGCTACCCTTCCCCAATTCATTTTGTTTGTTTATTTTTACATTTATTTAAATCCTCATCCAAGGATATTTCTCCATTTATCTTAAGATAGAGTGGGAGGGAGGGAGAGAGAGAGAGAGAAAAATAATCAATGTGAGAGAGACACATCGATTGGTTGCTTCTCTCGCACAACTGTAACCAGGGGACTGAACTGCAACCAAGATATGTGCCCTTGACTGGAATCGAAACCGCTTCTCTTTGGTCTGTGGGCCCATGCTCTAACCACTGAGAAAACTGGCCAGGGGCATTTTATTTTATTTGTTTTTTTGTTAATCCTCACTTAAGTATATTTTCCCATTGATTTTTAGATAGAGTGGAAGGGAGGGAGGGAGAAAGAGAAACATCAATGTGAGAGAGGCACATTAGTTGGTTGCCTCTCACATGACCCAGGTTAGGTCCAGGTATCAAACCTGAAATCTAGTTACATGCCCTTGACTGGTCCACAGGCTGACATTCTATAACTGCTCAGCCAAACCTGCCAGGGCCCCAGTTCATTTTAAATGGAAGGATTATGCTACTCAGAACCCAGTCCCTAAACGGAGATAGGATTGCCTGATATTGAGTCATGTGATATGGCACAAATCCTGGCAGCAGAGTACAATAAATAAGGATGGTTATATATTTATATTACTTTGGAATAATATGTGAGACCAGTGATATGCCGGTAGTTGCTGGGGCCACTTCATTTTATTCTTTCTCATGTCCTTTTTTTTTTTTTACTTTATTATGTTTTCATTGATTTGTTAGAGAAGAAGGTAGAGATAGAAACATTTATGTGGGAGAGAAACATCCATCAACCGCTTCCTGCACGCCCCCCACTGGGGATTGAGCCCAAACGCCCTGACCAGAAATCAAACCGGGACCTCTCAGTCTATGGAACGACACTCAATCGACTGAGCCACACCTGCAGGCTCTCATGTCATTTTTATTCCTTATTAAGAGAAATAAATATTGATGGGGGAAGAAAAAGTCCATTGAAGCTATACTTAGCACTGATAATGCAGAGTTCAAATCTGAGGGCACATGCCATTCTTTGGAGAAGAACTTCAATGGTATCAAGAGGGGATTCTAAGAACAGAGGTCTCTTGGAAGTGGTGTGGGAAGAAAGGTAGAGGAGGGCCAACTACCCTCCAGGGGTCTTCACATATCCTTGTTCCACTGCAACCCTGAGGAAATGGTTGGGTAGTTATCTCTTTTTCAGAGTTTTTCTTTAAAACAAAAAAAGAAAACATTAGCATAACAATACTGTTAAATACAGTTTGGAAGAAAGAAAATCTCACTGTTTTTTCTAAACCACCTTAGTTGTACTATATTACTTTCTAATTTCTTCCAGATAATCACATTTTTTTACACAGTTGCAATCAGTGTTATTGCTCAGTGTTGCTGGGGCTCACCACAATCTTGACACTTCTATCAGGAGGCTGTTGGTAGAACAGGCATTTCACTGCTTTGTGCTGACTTTTGGGCACAGCAGAACCTAAGATAAAATTCTTGCATAAAGCCTACCTCTGTTGCTTCCTCACATATCCTACACTCCCTCTCACTGTCCCAGTTGAGGAAGAACTTCAACTCAGACTGTAAGATGTCTCTTGTAAGCCCTGCAGAGCATGGTGGCTACAGTTTTCTTTAGAAGGAACATGGTGTATTTAGATGGTAGATAAGGCCAGTTCGTGCTTGTATGGTTCTAAATGTGAAGCAAGGACAAGGAGCTATTCACGGTGCAAAGTCTGCACTTCTTTTCTGTAATACATTGTTCTATGTTGCCAGTGTTTCAGTGAAAGTTTTTAGTGTCTGTCTCTGACGTACAATGTGTACTCATTTTTTTTTTTTAAATCACTAGAGCTTTGCTTGTACTTGCCAGATGAGTTTGAAGTACACTGGTATGGGGCTTTAGGCCTCATTTTAAGTGCATGGCACTGACTTATTTTGCTTGTTTCAATGATGACACTTTTATTTTTTCACAGAAGAGAAGGCCAATTTGGAGAATAAGTTTCCTGGGAAGAATGGGACAGGGCTTTTTCAGGACAGAACTCCTATGAGAAAAGCAAATCCTCAGCAAGCTATTGTGACACCTTTGAGACCAGGTAAGAGAGAATATGTTAGTAAAAAGCTCCTTGGCAGAATGGTGGGACAGTGTATTAGAAGCTTGAAGGATCTGAGGGCTCCATCCCTTGGTTTACTATTGGTAAAATGGGCTAATTCATTTCATACTGAGTGTGAAACTAATGATGTGCTACACTTTTTAAAAAAAAAAATCTCTTGGAATTTAAGCTAACATAGAATTTGATTGCCAGATACATAACTTGTGTGTGTGTGTGTGTGTGTGTGTATGAGAGAGACAAGTTTTAACATAACATATGGGTCTGGCTGGGAAATAAACCAGTAGGAGAGAAGAATACACTGCTTTATATTATACAAGAATTCTTTGAGTCATCTGCCTAAATTTATTTTATTTTTTTAAATCTTTATTGTTGGATGTAAAATGTATTACAGATGTTCCACATTTTTCCCCCATTGACCCCCCTCCTCCCCACTCCCGCCCCCCTCCCACCTTTTCCCACACTATTGCCTGTGTCCATTGGTTATGCATATAAGTTCTTTGGCTTATTTCTTCCTACCCCCGCAACCCCTTTCCCTTTGAGGTTTGTCAGTCTAGCAATGAATTTGTACTTCTTAATCCCTTCACCTTTTTCACCCAATCCCCCAACCCCCCTCCCAACTGGCAACCAACAAAATGTTCTCTGTATCTATGAGAATGTTTCTGTTCTACTTGTTCATTATTTGTAGATTCCATTGTTGATAGATATGTATTCATTGCCATTTTGTTTATTCATATATTTTATCTTTTTCTTCAAAAAGACCCTTCATCATTTCATATAATAACGGTTTGGTGGTGGTGAACTCCTTTAACTTTTTCTTTTCTGGGAAAGTCTTTATATGTCCATCGATTCTAAATGACAGCTTTGCAGGATAGAGTAATCTTGGTTGTAGGTTCTTGCTTTTCATCACCCTGAATATTTCTTGCCACTCCCTTCTGGCCTGCAAAGTTTCTTTTGAGAAATCAGCTGACAGCCTAATGGGAACTCCCTTGTAGGTAACTAGCTGCCTTTCTCTTGCTGCTTTTAGGATTCTCTCTCTGTCTTGAACCTTTTGCATTTTGATGATGATGTGTCTTGGTGTGGGCCTCTTGGGGTTCATCTTGTTTGGGACTCTCTGTGCTTCCTGTACTTGTATGTCTGTTTCCTTCACCAAGTTAGGAAAGTTTTCTGCCATTATTGTTTCAAACAGGTTTTCGATTTCTTGTTCTCGCTCTTCTCCTTATGGCACCCCCAAGATGCGAATGTTGGCATGCTTGAAGTTGTCCCAGAGGCTCCTTACACTATCCTCATTTTTTTGGATTCTTTTTTTTTGCTGTTCTGATTGGGCATTTTTTGCTTCCTTATATTCCAAATCGATGGTTTGCTCCTTGGATTTACGTACTCTATTACTGAAGCTGTGTAAATTATTCTTTATTTCAGTTGATGCCTCCTTCAATTCTAACTGTGTATCCATGATTTCTAACTGATCCTTTTTTATGCTCTTGAGGCCCTCCCTAAATTCACTGAGGTTCTCACTAAGTTCATTGAGCATCCATATAAGCAGTATTTTGAACTCAGTATCTTTTAGGCTGCTTATCTCCATTTCGCTTAGTTCTTTTATTGGGGTTTTGTTCTGTTCTTTCATTTGGGACCTGTTTCTTTGTCTCCTCATTTTGGCTGCCTCCTGTGTTTGTTTCAGTGTATTACTTAATGAGAGGTATGGGGCTGCTGAGACCAGATGCTGCTCGTTTGAAAGAATTTAGGAAAACCTGAAGCAGGATCCAAGACAGGCCAATCCTATGGTTAAGCAAGTGGCAACAGCTTGGGTGGGCTTGAAAGTTGGGTGGGGCGGGGCAGGGCCTCAGGGAGTCACCAGGGCAGGGCTGTCAGTGTGAGCCAGGTTGCTGGAGTCCCAGATACGGCTTCTGTCTGCCGCCCCCAGGGAAGGGGTCACCAAAGGAACAAAGGCCTCTTACACACATTTGTGCCAGAGAAAGCCCCCTCTCCAGCCCTCGCTCCAGTGCCAAACAGCTCAGTTCTTCCCTGTATGAGTCTGGTGCCTGCCTCTCCTCCAAGCTTAGAGGGAGCGAGTCCGAGACGTTTGCGCGCGGGCCCTTTAAGGAGCTGCCTGGGGCTCCAGCCGCTTCAGCTTCCCTGAGCCTCAGTTCCCGCTGGTTTTTCTAGCCAGAAGTTATGGGGACTTCTCTTCCTGGCACTGGAACCCTGAGCGGGGCACCTGGTGTGGGACGGGGACCCCTCAGTCCTCAGGAAGGATCTTCCCAGCCGCGGGAGCTTCCTGATTTTTATCCGCCACACTTGGGTGTGGGACCAGCCCATCGCGCCACCGCCGCCCCTCCTACCAGTCTGGATGTGGCTGCTGCTTTAATTTCTTAGTTGTAGGACTTCCATTCAGCTTGATTTCAGGCGGTTTTGAATGATGGTTGTTCTGTAGTTTAGTTGTAACTTTGATGTGGTTGTGGGAGAACTCCATACCGCGTTTACCTACGCCGCCATCTTGACCGGAAGTCCCCATCTGTCTGATTTTAAAAGATGATTGACATTAAAACTGGATGTTACGAAATCTGTAGAATATTGTCTATTTGATCAGAACAAAAGAGGCATTCTTTAAGAGGTCATAAATCCTCAAAGATTATTTTTTTTGGAAGTCATAGCTATATTTAGATATAATGTACATGTTGCAATTCACCTACTTTTCTTTGTTTTTTTATAGTATGTTCATAAGAGTAGTGTGCAGCCATTACTACAATCAAGTATTATTGATTTTTTTTCTATTTTATGGATCTCCATTCTGATCTTTATTATTTCTTTTCTACTTACTTGGGGTTCAGTATGCTCTTTTTTTTTTTCGTTTAGTTTCTTAAGGTGGCACCTGAAGTCATGTATTTGAGATCATCTTTTTTAATGTGTTTACTGGTATAAATTTCCCTTTACTGCTATAGTGCAGTGATTTTTAACCTTTTTCATCTCATGGCACACATAAGCTAATTCTAAAATTCTGTGGCACACATATTTTTTGCTGATCTGTCAAAAAATAGGTATACTTTTTATTGGTTTACAAAAAATAATATTAATAGTAATTACTTGGCCTTTTTGATCCAAAGTGAATTTTTATTTTTATTTATTTTTTGAGAATTTATTTTAGAGAGGAAAAGAGAGAGAGAAACATGGATGTGAGAGGGAAACATTGATAGGTTGCCTCCCCACAACCTGAGTATGGGCCCTAATCAGGAATTGAACCTGAGACTTTTTGGTGTACGTGAATACACTCCAACCAACGAGCCATACCGGCCAGGGCTCCAAAGTGACTTTGTATAAAATCAGGTGCCTATAGTTATATATAAGAATTTCTGGTACCAATAATTAACCAATCACACGATAACATAACTAATAAGTTGCAACTCTGTTATATGACCTATATATATTTATGGTTCAAGTCAGGGCATTCACACCAGATGGCTATTGTTGTGTTGGTTGTTATCTTATTTTTTTTTTTTGACAATCTGAATGAAAAGAGGTCAGTACCCCTGAGTAGACAGTCCAGAATTGCATGTTTTAAAAACTTCTTGCCACACACACCGATTAAAAATCACTGCTTTAGCCCTGGCCAGTTTGGCTCAGCGGTTAGAGCGTCGGCCTGTGGTCCGGAGAGACGCGGGTTCGGTTCCCGCTAAGGGCACGTACTTCGGTGGCAGTTTGTCCCCGGCCCTGGTTGGTCGTGTGGGTGGCAGCCACTCGATGTGTCCCTTCACGTCGATGTTTCTCACTCTCTCTCCCTTCCTCTCTCTCCCTCCCATTCTATCTGTACAAAAATGGAAAAATATCCTCGGGAGAGGATAAAAAAAAAAAAAAATCACTGCTTTAGTGGCATCCCACAAATTTGATATGTTGTGTTGTAATTTTCATTCCGTTCAAAATACTTTAAATTTCCCTTTTGATATTTTCTCTGACTCATTTTTAAAAAATAAGTTTTTATTGATTTTAGAGAGAGAGAAAGAGAAACATCAATTGGCTTCCTCCTGCATGCTCCCTACTGGGGATCAAGCCTGCATGTGCCATGGCCGGAATCAAACCAGTGACCTTTTGGTGCGTAGGACGACACTCAACCAACTGAGCCACTATGGTTAGGGCTCATTTTTTTGTTTTAATGGAGATATAATTGACATAAAACATTGCATAACTTCAAGGAGTACAGCTTGATTTGATACATTTATATATTGCAATGTGACGAACAATCCACCAGTGTTACTCCGATTTCCCATTTCACTTATACTCATTTTTGTTTATGTGTATTAAATTCGATGCAATTTTATCACCGGTGTAGATTCATCTACCACCACAGTCAAGATATTGAACAGTTCTAACATCATAAGGAGCCTTGTGTTGCCCTTTTATAATAACTACAGTCACTTCCCTCTTGCTACCCCTTCCCAATTCATTTCTATATGGACGGATTATGCTACTTGGAACCCAGTCCCTAAATAGAGATAGGATTGCCTGATGTTGGGTCATGTGATATGGCACAAACCCTGGCAGCAGGCCAACAATAAATAAGGATGGTTATCTCTTATGAATTTTAGATCTCTTATCTCTATCACATCATGTAATTCTTTTCTGTTTTGAGTAAAATTAAGATCTAGTCTCTTAGCAACTTTGAAGTTTACAAAACAGTATTGTTGACTATAATCTCTATGCTGTGCATAGATTTCCAGGACTGATCTACTAATTGCAAGTTACTTATGTGTTACTTACAAATATCTGCAGGGGTTATAGAAATAGTTTCTGTTACTGATTTCTCAATGGATTTAATTCCATTGTGGTCAAAGAACATACTTTGTGCCTGGCCAGTGTGGCTCACTGGTTGAGCGTCAACTCATGCACCAAGAGGCCTCTGGTTCCATTCCAGGTCAGGGTACATGCCCAGGTTGTGGGCCCAATCCCCAGTGGGGCGCATGCAGGAGGCAGCCAATTGATGTTCTCTCTCATTGATGTTTCTGTCTCTCTCTCTCTCTCCCCCTCTTCCTCTCTCTAAAATCAATTAAAAAAAAATTTAAAAAAGAACATACTTTGTTACTTGAATCCTTTTAAATGTATTGAGACTTGTTTCGTGGCCCAGAAGGTCTGTCTTGTTCAGTGTGTACTTCAAAAGAATGTGTATTCTGCTGTCATTGGGTGGAAAGTTACATAAATGTCAGTTAAGTCAAGTTGGTTGATAGTATTGCCCAAGTCTTCTATTTCCTTACTGATCTTCTAATTGTTCTATCCATTATTGAAAGTGGGGATATTAAAGTCTTCAACTGTTATTGTTGAATCATTTATTTCTTTTTTCAGTTTTGTTAGTTTTTTTTTCTTTTTATATCTGGGGCTCTGTTGTTAAGTACATACATGTCTATAATTCTTATACATCTTCTTGGTGAGTTGACTATAACATATTTATGTAAAAATTTTTACTGGAATACAGCCATGCATATTAACATATATATATTTTTGTAGCTATTATAATGTTACTGATTTTTCTGTCCACTTCCTTCATCAATTCAAGAGAGAAGTATTACATTTTAGACTGTAATTATGGATTTGTCTATTTCTCCTTGTAGTTTTTGCTTTGTATTTTGAAGCTCTGATATTAGATGTATAAACATTTAAGTTGTATGTCATCTTGATGAATTGATCATTTTATCATTTTGAAATGATCTTCTTTGGTAATATTCTTTGTTCTGAGATCTACTTTGATATTAACTCCAGTTTTCTTTTGATTAGTGTAAGTTAGGTCTTGCTTTTTAAAATTTAATGTAATCATCTCTGCCTTTTTTTTTAACCTGATTTTTTTCCTTTGAATTATTTTTTTTATAGATTTTGTGTGTGTGTGTGTGAGAGAGAGAGGGAGAGAGATAGAAACAACGATGTGAGAAACATCAGTCGGCTGCCTCCTGCATGCCCCCTCTTGGGGATCGAACCGCATCTCTCAGTCCATGGGGCAATCCACTGAGCCACACCAGCCGGGCCATCTCTGCCTTTTAATTAGGTTAAATGCCTCTATTGTAACCTTGATATAATATGCTATCTTTTTTGTTTGCTTATTCGTTTCCATGTCTTTTCCTTCCCTTCAAAAATTTTTCTTTTGGCAATGAGCCAAATGTTTGTTCTCTGGACTAAATAATGCATGCAGTATGTTTTCATGGCTTTTTCTCCCCTGTCATATAGTTGGGGTTTTATTCTTTTATCAAGGCTCAGTTCATAAGCTATACCATCAAATATTATTTCTTCATGAAGCTTTTACTTGATTATTTCTTTTTCAGTATTCTCATAGTACTTTTTTTTCTGTTTCTCTTTATGATGGCCATGGTAACATCATAGTATTTAATGATAAAATATCTTTTTCACCCTCCCACCTCTGTACCACTTCTCTTTCTCAAATGCTACATTTTTTATCTCTTACTGTTTTATATTGCAGTTATACCCATAATGTCTGGTAATATGATTATATTCACAACCTTTACATTATTATGGTTATGTAAATATTATTCAGTGACAGGTCAGTTAGTGTGATGTGCAACTGCATTTCTTCTTGTTCCTCCTTGGTTCTCCACAGTTTTAATGTCGTAGCCTTGGGGCCATATAAAGATGATCCTGACGTTAAGGTCAGATAGATTCTCTTTTCTTTAAGGTTCATCAATTACTTAAGTTTTTGTCATTCTTTAGCATATTGGAAAATGATCCTTGGAAGTTATAACTGCTTTTTAGGGGATGACTTTATTTTTCTTAATATCTTCTTCTTTTTTTTAATCCTCATCCGAGGACATTTTTCCATTTTTTGTACAGACAGAGTGGGAGGGAGAGAGAGGAAGAGAGAGAGAGAGGGAAACATCGATGTGAAAGGGACACATCGAGTGGCTGCCACCCGCACGACCAACCAGGGCCGGGGACAAACTGCAACCGAGGCACATGCCCTTAGCAGGAACCGAACCCTGGTCTCCCCGGACCACAGGCGGACGCTCTAACCGCTGAGCCAAACCGGCCAGGGCTTTTTCTTAATATCTTCTCAATATCTTTGTTGACATTTCCTGGATCCTATCTCTCTTTTTTTTGTTGTTGATCCTCACTGAAGGATATTTTTCCATTGCTTTTTAGATACAGTGGGGGAGAGAGAGAGTCACATTGATGTGAGAGAGACACATCAATTGGTTGTCTCCCTCACAACCCCAACCGGGGTGGGGATAGAACCTGCAGCACAGATACCTGCCCTTGACCTGGAATCAGACCTAGAGACGCTTCGGTTCTTAGGCTGATACTCTAACCACTGAACCAAACTGGCCAGTGCATATGTCTATTTTATTTGTCCTTCATTTTGCTGGAGTACATCCTCAGGGATCTTCCCAAGATTAGGTACAGGAGAAGATAATTTTGAGTTCTATCATGTCTGAAAATAACATTATTCCACCTTCATATACAATTGAAAATTTGACTTAATATAGAATTTGTAGATTTAAAAAAATTTTTTTAACTACTCTGAAGGCATTGTTTTTGTTTTATCTTCTATATTCTGTGTCATTGATGAGAAATTCATCTTACCCTATTTTTCTTGCATCTTAGGTGGTTTCTTTTTCTCTGTGGAAGCTTTCAAAATATTATCTCTTTAAAATGTCATGAGGGTGTGATTGGGATGTTTTTTTTCTTAGGTGGTGCTTTAGGCTAGCAAATAGGCAGATCCCTGGATGCTTTATTTTTTATTCAGCCAAAGAAGCTTTTATAAATTGGTTTTCTGTTTAACATTTCACTAGAACCAAAGGTTCCGTTGCTTAGGAGGGGGCTGTATGTGTACACGCACACACACACAAAGAATTTTCAATCCAGAATTCTGTATTAAGTCATGTGTACAGGGCAGGGCAAAAGTAAGTTTACAGTTGTGAGTACGTGAAACAGATTTTATTCTTGTATCATTATTTATTAATTGTATTTTCCAAATAAACAACTGAAAACCTACTTTTGCTCCATCCTGTATCTCTCTTTTTCAACTTATTTTCTTGGAATTTAAGTGCTAACTAGTTTTTACTCTCTGGCAGTTGAAAACACTTACTACAAAGAGTCAGAAAAAGAAAATCTGGAGCAACAGTCCATTCCCTCAAATGCTTGTTCTGCTGTGGAAGTCAAGGGGACCACCTCAAGAAATACTCCATCTCAGCCTCTGAGGTAAGACCGTTTCAGGGTCCAAAGTAGTGATTATATTGATGTTCAAAGAATAGTTACTGGACAGAGCATCTAGTAGGTGTTCCATACTTTATTAGATTCTTTATGTTACCTTATTTAATTTTCATAACATTTATGAGTTGTAGGTAATATGTTTAATTTATGGATAAGGGGTCAGAGATACTAAGTTGATTGTCCAAGGTAACTTTATTTCAGAGCCAGGATTCAAACTGCTCAGTTTGGTTCCGAAGCCCTTGTTGTTTGCACCACCACCATGGGTTGTGATTTTGTTTTTACAGTTATTTGACAGATTTTTTTTTTTTTTTTAATTTACCTCGTTATAAGTAAATTTTTTAAGGGCAAGTAGCCTGTATCCCTAGTACTTAATGGTGTCTGGCTGGAGCAGAAGCTGAATAAATGCTTGATGAATGAACAAATGGATGGATGGGTAGATTAACCTGCAATATTGCACTAGCAATCTCAGAACTTTCAGCATCTAAAAATTAACTACCCACCCAGAATTTAAATTGCAGGACTATTTATTGCTTTATACTTTGACATCACCTAGAATATCCTCAAGGAAGAGGAATGGCAGAATATTTATAATATTATTGCTCAGAAGTAATGAAATTACCCATTGCAAAGCGTTATGCTGTCATAAGGGCATCACTTTTGAGGATGGTATCACATAAGCTTATACTAATCTTTTCTGGTAAAGAAGCCCATTTTATTTTATTTTAGTTTTTTTTTTTAGATAGAGTGGAGGGGAGAGAGAGGAAGAGAGAGAGAGAGAAACACTGACGTGAAAGGGACACATTGAGTGACTGCCTCCCACACGACCCAACCAGGGTCGGGAACAAACTGCAACCAAGGTACATGCCCTTAATGGGAACCGAACCTGGCTTTCTCTGGAACATAGGCCGACGCTCTAACCGCTGAGCAAAACTGGCCAGGGCAAGAAGTCCATTTTAATCAAAGAATTCTATGAAATCTCAACCAGCTAGGTCTATATCACAGGAGTCTGAAGAGATTTCTGTTGGTTCATTCTAGGTTTCTGTTCCATGTTTAGATTGTGAAGTGGACCTATGGAAAAGAGACCTGGTGTCTTATAGTTTCCTTCAGAATCCAAGAAAGTGTTAGTGCCGTGGCTTCTCTGTTTTGTATATGTATATGATTACTAAAATTGTTCGTCATCCTGACTGAATTCTGGAATGCTTTTTGGAAATGATGGTATGACAGAAAGATAGCTGCTGTCAGAGTCAGAAGACCTGGATGTTTTGTTGTTGTTTTTTAAAGGCAGGTACCCTCTACTATTAAAAGCCTCAGTTTACTGAGAATAAAGGAGCTAATTGTAAGAAAGGACCAAATAAGATAATATGTGACAGTACTTTGTAAATGATAACACGTTATGAAAATGGTAAAACATTACAGCCATTATCTCATATATTAGGTTTATCTTCGTTCAGAGATGCCTAATTTAGAAAGGATCAGCAGATGGAATAAGATGGTGTACACAGTCATACAAATTCCCTACTATTTTATTTTCACATGGTTTAGATGGATAGGCAGAAAGATGGACAAAACTCATTTGACACAGAAGTTAAGAGTCAACAAGACCTTAGTCAGTAATAATAATTTTGCCATGGAGGTGTTGTCTTACCACAACAGTGAGAACAGTGGAATCAAATAGAAACTCACTTTCCCATGTATGGACAATGATATATGACTAAGATAGTACTGCAGGCCTGTGGGGAAAGTGGTTTTTTTCTGTTGTTGGTTTTTGTTTAATTTTTTTTTTTTTTTTATCCTCACCTGAGGACATTTTTGCATTTATTTTCAGATAGAGTGGGAGGGGAAGAGAGAGAGGAAGAAAGAGAGTGAGAGAGACACATCAAGTGGTTGCCACCCACATGACTCCAACCGGGGCCAGGGACAAACCGCAACCAAGGTACGTGCCCTTCGTGGGAGCCGAACCCAGGACTCTCTGGTCCACAGGCTGATGCTCCAACCGCTGAGCCAAATTGACCAGTGCTTGTTTAATTTTTTTAACTTTCCTTCATTAAATGCTTGGACAATGGATATCCAAACAGAACAGAATGAAACTTGGTTTGTACGTCACTCTGTATAAAATAGTCACTTCTGCCCTGGCCGGTTTGGTTCAGTGGTTAGAGCGTTGGCCTGTGGTCCAGAGAGACCCAAGTTCAGTTCCCGCTAAGGGCACGTACCTCGGTTGCAGTTTGTCCCCAGCCCTGGTTGGGTCGTGAGGGTGGCAGCTACTCGATGTGTCCCTTTAACGTCGATGTTTCTCTCTCTCTCTCCCCCTCCCACTCTATCTGAACAAAATATGGAAAAATGTCCTCGGGTGAGGATAAAAAAACAAAACAAAACAAAAAAAAAGTCACTTCTGGGTAGATTGTAGATCTAAATGTGAAAGCTAAAACTCATATGAGGAAATGTAGGAGAATATAGTTATGACCTTAGAATAGGGAAAGATTTTTTGCATAGAATATACAGAAAAGCACTAACCGTAATGTGGGGTGGGGGTTGTTGGTATATTTGAGCACCTTTATTTAATCAAATGACACTATAAAGAAAGTAAAAAGAGCCCTAACTGGTTTGGCTCAGCAGTTGAGTGTCGGCCCTTGGAAAGGAGGCACAGGTTCAATTCCCGGTCAAGGGCACCATACCTTGGTTGCAGGTTTAGTCCCTGGCCCTGGTTAGGGTTGTGCGGGAGGCAACCAATCTATGTGTCTCTCTCACATCAGTGTTTTTTCTCTCTCTCTGTCTCCCTTTCTCCTACTCGAACTGAAAATCAATAGAAAAATACCCTCGGGTGAGGATTTAAAAGAAGAGTGAGAGAAAGTAAAAAGATAATTCCCCATAGTGGGAAAATATATTTGTAACATAAATTTACAAAGGGATCATATTTAGAGTATATGAAGAATCTCTACTAATCAATTAGAAAAAGTTTGGTAACCCGTAGAAAGCAAGTAAGAGACTTGAATTACTTGGCACTTTATGAAAGAAGATAACCAAATGGCCAATAAATGTGAAAAGTTGCTCAGTCTCACTGTTAATCGGAAAAACAATCAAGGTTCTACTACATACCAACTAATATGGCTAAAATTAAATAATCTGACAATACCTAGTGTTCGGGAGGATGTAGAGCAATGCAGACTCTTATAAATTTGCCAGTGTAAGCATAAATTGGTACAAGCGCTTTGGAAAACAACTTCAGTTGTTTTCATACATGTCCTATGACCCAGCAATCTTATGACTTAAGATACCCAACAGCAACATGTGTACCACTGCACCAAGAGACATGAGAATCAACAGTAGACTGGATAAATAGTGGTACATTCCTGCAATGAATGCAGCATTGAAAACAATGAATTGAAGCTACATGAATCAATGTGGTAAAATCTCACAAACAATAAACCAGACAGAAAAAAATACTTGCAGCAGCCTGATTGCATTATGTAAAGGTTTTTTTTTTTTTTCTTTCCTAACTACTATACCATGTTAATGGAATGCATGCTTATATGGTAAAATGATAAAAAGTAATGATTACTATAAAACAAGTCAAGATAGCAGCTGTTGCCAGTGTTGTGTTTCTTAGTATAGGTTGTGATTTTATGAGATTTCACTTTGTAATCATTTAACTTAATTTTTGTTTTGTGTACATTTTGGTATATGTGTTGTATTTTAACAAAAAGGGATGTGGTTAAAACAAAAAGAAAATAAATACTATGGCTAGTTTCCAGGAGATCTGGTCTCTAATTTCAATTCTGATAGCAATTAACTATATAACAAGGTCAATCAAGTCACCATCTTTTTTTACTTTTCTCACTTATGAAAGAAGGGAATTCTCTTAGGTGATTGCCAATGCCTTTAAAAAAAAATCTGGCTCAGCGGTTGGAGCGTCGGCTTGCAGTACAGAGAGACCCGGGTTCGGTTCCCACTAAGGGCACGTACCTCGGTTGCAGTTTGTCCCTGGCCCTGGTTGGTCGTGCGGGTGGCAGCCACTCGATGTGTCCCTTCACATTGATGTTTCTCTCTCTCTTCCTCTCTCTCCCTCCTGCTCTATCTGCACAAAAAATGGAAAAATGTCCTCAGGTGAGGATAAAAAAAAAAAATCTGTTTTGTTGAGGTGTAATTTACAAATACCAATGCATTTAAGTACCGGTATTTTATGATGAAAATTTGTTTTATTTTTAATTTTATTATTTTTTGTAATTCTCACCTGAGAACCTGCTTAGAAAGATAAAGGGGGGGGGGGTTGATATCCACGGGAAAGAGAAACATTGATTCGTTGTTTTCTGCACTTACCCCTACTGGGGACCGAACCTAAAACTCAGGTATGTGCCCCCATCAAAAATGGAACCAGAAGCCATTTGTTTTTTTTATCCTTACCCAAGGACATTTTTCGATATTTTGTTCAGATAGAGTGGGAGGAGGAGAGAGAGAGAGAGAGAGAAACATCGACGTGAAAGGGAGACATCGAGTGGTTGCCACCCACATGACCCAACCAGGGCCGGAGACAAACAGCAACCGAGGTACGTGCTCTTAGCAGGAACTGAACCCGGGTCTCTCCAGACCGCAGGCCAATGCTCTAACCGCTGAGCCAAACTGGCCAGGGCCCATTGATTTTTAGATAGAGTAGAGGGAGGGAGGGAAGAGAGAGAGAAAGAGAAACATCGATTGGTTGCCTCCCACACAGCCCCAACCGGGGCCGGTCAATGAACCTGCAACCCAGGTAAATGCCCTTGAGAGGGAATCGAACCCGAGACCCTTTAGTCTGTAGGACGATGCTTTAACCATTGAGCTAAACCAGCCAGAACAAGAAGAGATTAGTTTTTAGAACTGAAATAATACCATTAAACATTTTATAGCCTTTTGTAGTTTGACATATTTTCACATTTCTGAAGAACATTTACATATCTGTAGTAGATGTATTCATTTCAGATAAATTTTGTCAATTCCTTTACCACAGGAGATCTGTTAGACTCTCTGCTCAGAAAGATTTGGCACAGAAAGAAAAACACCATGTAAAAATGAAAGCCAAGAGATGTGCTACTCCTGTAATCAGCAGTGAAACTCCACCCTCCAAAAGAATGAAAGTGTAAGTAGCCACAGCTTGTCACTTGGCATAGTTTTACCTCTGTTGCTCCTATGGTTAATAGCAAGTAGAATATATGGTGCTCTTATTTTTATCAGTTAGTAATGTATTTTACCTGTTCAGCTAGAGTAGTAGTTTATAGAGTAGTTAGTTATTTGCTTCACAAAAGGTTGCTGTTGGCTGTGGGTCAGTGGCTGAACAATGCCAGGGCAGAATCTTTGTGAGCGTTAGCTTTTATTTCTTGTTTTTCAAGGTGGCTGCTCTGTTTCTTAGCTTCTTCCTTGTGCTTGTTGCCTCATTGCCACAAGATAGCTGCTATATCTAGATATCACACCCAAGGTCAAGAGAAGAAGGAGGCAACGGAAGAGGGGCAGCACCCATATCAAGAAACTGAAATATTTTCCAGAAGCCCTTGTTATATCTCAGTTGCCAACTGTGTCATGGATCCTTCCTAGTTGCAGTAGAGATTGTTGATGCAAGTACAATGCTTTTACCTTTGTACATTATAGCCCCAAACAAAATTGGAGTTCTATTAATAATAGAACAGAATAGATATTGGGAAGACAACTAGCTGTGTGCCATTTGTGCATTTGATGATGAGCAGTTGGAATCCCTTCTACCCTCTTGAACCATCACTGGACAACTCTGATCTTGACTTCTATTGGTATTCTTAAAGTTTACCCTTTATAGCCATTACTACATATGATCTGGTGATACTAGTGGAAGAATCTTGTGGTTGAGTCATACTTGTTGGCCTAAAGAGTGACAAAATGTAAGTCATATGTGGTAGATTTGGGGAGGAGGCTAGAGCAGGGTATGCTTTAGGGAATTAAGAGGATATTTTTTGTTCTTTTGAACTCAAATTCTAACAATAAAAAGAAGCCAGAAGAGGAAGATAGTAGTGCTTATCAAGATACTTCTGGAAAGAATGAGTCTTCCCCAGAGAAAGCTAAGGACAGACATACTGTGCCTTTATGCCACCTGTAAGGCATGCTTCGTTCCTGAATTTAAACATTAGAATCAATAAAGTAAAATTACAGATGGGTACATGTCCTGTGTGTTTGATGTGCATGGAGCTTGGGAAACTCCTAAGGCTATAATCGTGATGAAGTGAATTGTTTTATATCCTGGTGGGGGCTCAAGTCTTAAATGTTGGGGAAAATATACTATTAAACAACATAAAAGAACTGTAAAAGGAAAAAGTAAAGGTCTTACTACCTACATTGAATGTTTTATTTTGTTAAGCTCCCTTTTGGTCCTTATTCAAATAAAATATATTTGTGCAATCAGTATATAAACAACATTTGGGCTTGCTTTATTCACTCACCATGAGACTTTGATTTATTTTTTTCTGTTCTATAAAATCTTCACATTTATCCTTTTTTGGTAGATAGTTAATATTCTCATTATATTTAAATATCTTCTGTTGAAAATGTAATTTCCAATTTTTCACTATTATAATTAGTCAGTGACCATCTTTATAGGCAGAGCTTTTTCTTTTGGTTAGTCTTCTCAATGACTAGTTTTATGTCTATTGATATTTATTGCCAATTTTATTTCTGAAATGAATGTATAGGTTTGAAATGCCATTAGCTTTGAATGTTTTTATTGCCTTGTCTTATCTTCACGGAATTCTTTTTACTTTAAAAAATGTTCCCACCCTGGCCAGTGTTTGGCTCAGTTGGTTGAGGGTCATCCTGTACACCAAAAGGTCACCAGTTTGATTTCTGGTCAGGGCACATACCCAGGTTGTGGGTTCTGATCCCTGGTTGGGGTGTATACAGGAGGCAACTGATCAGTGTTTCTCTCTCCATCCTTCTCTCTCCCCCTCCCTTTTTCTCACTTCCCTCCCTCCCTTCTTCTCTCTCTCCTTTCCTCCCTTTATCTCTAAAAAAAAAATCGATAAAATCATTTATTTTTTTATTCCTCTCCTGAGGATATTTTTCTACTTATTATCAGATAGTGTGGAAGGGAGAGAGAGAGAGAGAGACAGGGAGAAACTTTGATGCGATAGAGCCACATTGACTGGTTGCCTCCCCCACAACCCTACCAGGGCCGGGGATGAACCACAACTGGGGAACGTACCCTTGACCGCAACTGAACCTGAGACTCATTGGTCCATGGGCCAGTGCTCTAACCGCTGAGCCAAACCGGCCAAGGCAATAAAACATATTAAAAAAAGGAAATGTTCCACATTGCCCTGGCCAGTGTGGATCAGTGGTTGGAATGTCAGCCTGCAAACTGAGGGGTCACACGTTTGATTCCCTGTCAAGGGTGCATGCCTGGGTTGCAGGTTTGATCACCGTCCCTGATTGGGGCTCGTGCAGGAGGCAACCAGTCTATGTGTCTCTCTTATATCAATGTCCATCCACTCTCTAAAAATCAGTGGAAAAAATATCCTTGGAAGAGGATTAACAACAAAAGAATTTTACAAAATGTTCTACATTAATTGCTATATTGTCAATGGCATTCAGTTATTTAAATTTGTATTTGCATGATTGCTGACAACATTGTATTACTATCATTGTAACACCTTTTCCATATTTCCTCTTGGATGAATTGTCTGTTTCCTTTTCCGTTTATTACTAAGAATGGCTACTGTACTGGAACTTTTACTATGTGTCGGATACTTTGGAAACATTATCTGATTTAATAGTCACAAATATTCTGTGATGAGTATATTCCTCATTTTATAGTGGAGAAACCTAAGGCTCCGAGAAGTTAAATCATTTTGTCAGGATCACATAGGCAGAAAATGAAAGGATAGGGCTGGGATTTTAAACTCTCTGGCTTTATTCCTAAGTCACCGTATATATTCTGTATATATTTACCTTTTGCCATATTTGTTGCAAATATTTTCCCCATTCTACTGGCTTTTTAATTTTTTTGTAGCATAAAGCTAATCATTATATAGTTCAATTTGTGGATCTTTTATAGTATCTTCTAGTCTGTTTTAGCCGTTTTCTGAAAATTTGTTCAATGTTTTGGTGTAAATTGTTCATCTGGATTTTTTTTTCATAGATTAATTAAATCAGTATGGCTCTATTAGATAATACTTTTTGTTTGGATGATTATTTTATCTCGGTTTAAAAATCTAATCTATATAATACTTTTAGATTATTTTGAATTATCAAGCCTCTTTCTTCTTTCTTATATCCTTTATTGATTTTCCCTTTAGACAGAAGATTCTAAAAAGTACTGAGGAGCAAGAGTTGGAGAAGAGCATGAAAATGCAGCAGGAGGTGATGGAGATGCGGAGAAAGAATGAAGAATTCAAGAAACTTGCTCTTGCAGGAGCAGGTCAGCTTGGCTCTGGTTGAGTCTGGTTTATGAGGGGTGCTTCTCATAATCTTGCTAGGGTTTTTTTATGTCTCTATAGTAAAAAAGGCTTTCTTGGTCAGTAGTTGGCATAAAATAATGTGTTTATTTAGAAGGCTAGACGTGGGTACCATTTATATCCCAATTATCATTCCCTAGAACATTTTACATACATTGACCTTTTCTTAGAGCATGGTGTTCCTCTGTCTCTATCTAGAAGTCATATCCATCTTTTGAGGCCTTTTCCCATGAGGACTTACTTCATTTCTTCAAGCAGAATTAATTTCTCCTTTCTTTTCCTCCTAATTCTTTTTCTTTGTATTAGAAAAAAAAAAAGGAATTAGGTTTAAGAGAGAAGATAAAGCAATTGGCTTGGCCATTTGTTTTCCCATTTTATCCTAGGCAGAGGAAGAGAAAGCTGAATGTATTCAATTGTGGCTGTGGGAGCTGAAGGAGTCAGAGTTCTGCTTTGCTCTGACATAGAGTTGTTATTGGTGGAGTTGAAGCTATAAAGCCCTGCTTACTAGGTTGAAAAAAGCATCCTGGAGTTTGTAGGGTTTCCCTCTTAGAGGTGTTAAGTGTGCTTTTAAAGTCAACTGAGAGCTTTGCCTATCAAAAGTATTCTAGCCCTGGCCGGTGTGGCTCAATAGTTAGACTGACAGCCTGTGCACCGAAGGGTCTTGGGTTTGATTCCCGGTGAAGTGCACATACTTAGGTTTCAGATTTGATCCCAGCCCTGGTTGGTTGGGGCAAGTGTGAGAGGCAATCAATTGATGTGTCTCTCTAACATCGATGTCTCTCTTGCCCTTCCCTTCCCCCTCTTCCTTCTAGTCTCTCTAAAAAATACCAGTGGAAAAGTATCTTTGGGTGAGGATTAAAAATCAATAAATTCTAGTTACTCTGTGTCTTCAGACCTATGACCACACCTGGGAATTGGGATTTTTCTCCCCTGTGCTACCTCTTTACAGTTTGCATCTGACTGAAGGGCCTCAAGTCCAGCAGTACTCAACTCAGTGAATAAGGCATATCTGTTAGTGTCCTTGAGGACTGTTTCAAATACTGGGTTTGAACAAAGTTAGATCCATGGTAATAGAAAGACCAAACGGACTGGATAAAAGGGGATTTACTGATTAACGTTCTCTATCCTTAGTGTTACCTCTGTGTTTTACCCTTCTCCTCATTCAGGGCAACCTGTGAAGAAATCAGTGAGCCAGGTAACCAAATCAATCAACTTCCACTTCCGCACAGATGAGCGAATCAAACAACATCCTCAGAACCAGGAGGAGTATAAGGAAGTGAACTTTACATCTGAACTGCGAAAACATCCTCCATCTCCTGTAAGTTGATGGACTAAATGAGTATTCTTCTTACTAATTCAGTGAGGATTTTGGTTGTAGCATTTGTGGTCATTTCTTACAGTAATATAATTGAATTAAGATCTAAATCCTCACTTTGCTTTCTGTTAGCTCTGTGCTCTTGGATGAATCATTGTCTCTTTGGGAACCATCTTGCCAAGTTGCCATGGAAACTGAATTGAGAATGTATATAAAACACATAGAATTATGGCTGGCAAATTATAAGCACAGGCTTGTTATAGCTTGTGCTGTTACAAAATTCTTGAACAAACCTTGTTTGCCAAGCTGAGTACCAAATATAATAGCATTTATGGGGAAAATGGGGTTGGGGCAGACCTCGTAAATCCTGTGCAGTTTTGTTACCAGAGCACTAACAAAAACAGTAACAATCCTAAATAAAAATTCTAGTACTAAGAATCTCTACTTGCAGTTTCAATCATCATCATTATTGGTTGAAGTCAGTCTTTCAATCTTAAACCCTAGGGTATGCTTCTTACTTTTAGATGTAGGTTCTGAAAGAGTTTTGTTTCTATTGAGAGACCAATTTAATCAAAATTAGTGGTCCAAGGAGTAGGCTTCTTCGTCAGTCAATTTGGGGGAAGGTTGTGTGAGAGTCTGAGTCAGGCAGCTGCCTGACCTGATCCACTCCCAGAAGTTTAATCATTTTGTTTGTTTTTTATCCTCACCCGAGGACATTTTTTAATTTTTTGTTCAGATAGAGTGGGAGGGAGAAAGAGAGAGAAACATCGATGTACAAGGAACCCAACCAGGGCTGGGGACAAATTGCAACCGAGGTTCGTGTCCTTGGCGGGAACCGAACCCGGGTCTCTCTGGACCACAGGCTGACGCTCTAACCGCTGAGCAAAACTGGCCAGGGCTTAATCATTTTTTAAATGGGATTGAGGATGGGGTGCCTTTTCAGTTATTTTTGTTCCCTCTAAATATAATCAGATTTGCTTTTGATTGTTGCAAAATATTAATATACTTGTGAATAATCACTTTGTGTGTATTGTTGAACAATTTGCTAAGTGCTAGATTCTTCTTTTTTTTTTTCCCGAAAATGGGAATAGACTGGTTATAACCCATGCTCAAAGACGGACAGACTTAAGAATAATAATATTGCTTTACATGGGCCCTTTTTCTTTTGATTCTCTCTGCTGAATATGTGACTAGTGGTAGATCTGAGCTTCTGCACTGTTTCATTTGGGAACAACTTCTTTCTTTACAGGCCCGAGTGACTAAGGGATGCACCATTATAAAGCCTTTTAACCTGTCCCAAGGAAAGAAAAGAAAATTTGGTGAAACAGCTTCTCCATATGTGCCTATTGCACAGCAGGTCGAAGCCTTCTATAAACGAACCCCTAACAGATATCACTTGAGGAGCAAGAAGGATGATATTGGTAAGATATCAAAGCTGGCTGGAGTCTCCTGTAGAATTCTTTTTGCTTATGTTGTAGGCACAAATTTGCCTTTAGTTGAAATCCTAGTTTTTGAACTAAAGTATAGCATGTGTTTATATTTGCAGACAATTAATGTATTGTTGAGCATTTCTCAAACCACCCAGTTATCTGTCCACTTATGTACATCAATCACCTTCATCCTCCTGGTTAATAATGGACCAAGGGAAAGCAAGGTTACCTGATGTGTTATTGTACATCAAGGACATCTTTGCTATGTGTCAAAGTATCCCGGTACATTTTTACTTAACTGTAGAAAATGAAGGTATTCCATTCATTCAAGTTTGTGTGCTTTTTGTTCAGTGATTCAATTAGTTTTTTACCACTAAAAACCGCGTACTTTCTTGGGCATAGAAGTGAACAAAATGGTCTTGGTGCTACTCAACATCAAGTGTCTAATTCAGTGAGAGAAATAAACTAGTAGATTATTACAAATTATTGCAAGTGCTGTGATTGTGGAGGGAGATGTCAGAGTTAAAGGATGTGGAAGATAGGTAAAGTGTCTCTGCATGCTGAGAAGTTTCTGGCAGAGAGAAAAGTTGAAGATAGAAGAGAAGATAACCATTGGTTAGATCCCTGCACAGATAGGTAGAGGAGGATACTTAGCACAGGTGGAGTGATCATTCTTTGAAAGGGGGATGGAAGAGTGAGAGGAATGAGTGCAAATGCTGATGGGTATGTAGATTTGGTGGTGAACAGATGAGAGGATTCTAATCTAATAGTTTCTATTTTTATAAAAATAGTTACTACAAAAAGGAAGGTAAAGAAGTTTGAGAAATAAATAAGAAGTCGTATAAAATAGTTGTCTAGAGTATAAGGCTAGCATTATGGATAAAGTAGAATCTTGTTGTTTTGCCTTTGAAGGTCTCACTTTTTTCTGCCCTTGCATTGGCATTGTTTAGTTCTATATCAGGTAGCCAGGCAATTTCCTTTAAGTGTAGCATTTCTTGGGATTATGTTATTCCAGTAGCCGTTTGTCAAATTTTATGTTAATGAAAGTAAAATATTTTTTTATCCTAATGGAAATTTAAATATTAAATATGACATTTAGAGTCTGATATGTCTTGCTCTTATAATCTTAGTCCTGGTAAATAGAAATAAAAATTACTTCCTGTAATTTTTATTTAAAACTTTTTTACAATTATAGCTAAATAATGGTTATAGGTATACTTGAAGGCTGGCTTATTTAGAAAAGAAATAGATTTGTGCCCTGGCCGGTTTTGCTCAGTGGTTAGAGCGTCGGCCTGCGGTTCAGAGAGACCTGGGTTCAGTTCCTGCTAAGGGCATATACTCAGTTGCAGTTTGTCCCTGGCCCTGGTTGGGTCGTGTGGGTGGCAACCACTCCATGTGTCCCTTTCACGTCGATGTTTCTCTCTCTTCCTCTTTCTCCCTTCCACTCTATCTGAACAAAATATCGAAAAAATGTCCTCAGGTGAGGATAAAAAAAGTTTAAAAAAAGAGAAAGAAATAGAGTTCTTTTCTACCTTCTTATGTGATAAGATCTAAATTAGAGGACTCATTTTATATAACTATGAATAAAACTGCCACAGTTACCCCTGACACAGCAAATCAGTATCTTCTATGAGTAGTAGTAATGGTCTCTTTTTAAATTTTTATTAATTTATTGGGGTAATGTTGGGTGATGGTCTTAATATTGATACTTTGACATAGTTTTTTTTTACTTTCTCCACTTGACTTTCTGTGAGAAGTAGTCTTGATATTTGATATAAATGCTTTTAGGGAGTTTGTAAAATTTGGAATTATTACTTGGTCTTTAGAAAGGCCTTATTTTAAAGCTGGAATAAGTAAAAATCTTACTTGTCAATAACAAGCAAAATAGTTGGCATTGTCAATAGAGAGGGGCAGTACAGGCCGATGCAGTGATAAGGAATTCATAAGACATAGGTGGTTTTTAAGTTCAGAAGATAATAGTAGGGTTGACCCAAAGGCTACCTTTGTCATACCCTTTAGTAAAAAGTGATAGGGAAGAAGGGGGACTGCACATTTGTCAGGTTGACTTATGTGAATTGAGCTGACTGTGGAGGGCCAGACATTCTGTGGTTGGGCATCTCTGGGCTGCCAAGGTAAGTCATCACCTACAGGTAAATGGGGTCTTGGGGAGCCAGATGAATGTCTGTGATCCCTGTTTACAGCTCTGTTACCCTCCAAATCTGCTGTGGCCAAGATTTCCAGAGACCCGCAGACTCCTGTGTTGCAAACCAAACAGCGCACAAGGCCTGTGACCTGCAAAAGTGCAGCAGATCAGGAGGCCGAGGAGCTCGAGAAACTGCAACAGTAAGTAGCACTGGCAGTATTTGAGGAAGAGTTCTAACAACCTGCCTACTCTCTTTTCAGTTCTATATGGGGACATTTGCTATTTTTCATGCCGTGAGAATTTACCGCATTTGAGTTACCAGCTCTGCAGGCTGTGCCCCTTTCTCTGTAATTAAAGGCTTAAAAGTGGGAATATGGGGATATTCTGGAGTGTAAGCTGGTGGAAAGCTACTGCAGAGGTCAGGGTGGAAGAATTTACTTATGATTCCAATTAGGGAGTGTTCTCTGAGGTTAATTTAGGTAGATCCTACCTTTGCATGCCTGACCAAGGGATTGTTCAAGGGAGAAAACTGGAACTTAATATGGTTAGCACTGGAGTTTGTCTCTCGTATCCTCCTTCCATTTCTTTTTGTACTTCTTTTGAGAAGGCGAGCTTCCTCTGTGAAGAGAAACCCCAGTCTTTAAAGTGGTGGGAATGTTAGGACTGTCTTATTTATTCTTTGTTCTAGAGGTAGAGATAATGGCTCTGGAGAGAAATTTTTCTCTGCATTATGGCTACACTTAATAATTATTGTTTTTCTGTTTTGGTCTACTTTGTTGTTTATGTAGTTTTTATTTTATTTTTAAAAATGTTTGTGGTTGTCATTTAAACTCTCACCTTACAGATATAAATTCAAAGCACGGGAACTTGATCCCAGAATTCTTGAAGGTGGGCCCATCTTGCCCAAAAAACCGCCTGTAAAGCCACCCACTCAGCCTATTGGCTTTGATTTGGAAATTGAGAAAAGAATCCAGGAGCGTGAGTCAAAGAAGAAAGCAGAGGATGAACACTTTGAATTCCATTCCAGACCTTGCCCAACCAAGATCTTGGAAGATATTGTGGTAAGAATGGTTGAGGCCCGCATGCTGGCAAAATTATCCTGCTCATGACCAAATATCCCACCCACTTATATATATGCTTGAATATATACTATGATCAGAGTATCATATTAGGAGTTGTAGGTGATAAAGAGACATATCAGAGTTGGATTTTGCTCTCAGGAAACAAAGTCCAATAAGGGAGACAACATGTATAAATAATATAAAATGAGACAGAAGTGTTCTGAGAGAGATGACAGTTAAAAGTACTATAGGAATTCAAAGGAGATAATGATTTCTTCCAAGTGGAAGGTTCGGGAATGATTATGGGAGGAGGAAGCAGTCATTGTCATCATCATGATGTTTCAATGTCATAATAGCCGAGTATGTGCCAGGCACTGCTCTAAACCCTTTTCGGACATTAAGCCATTCATTTTGATCATGGCCCCTCCAGGTGATTTACTCTAATTATCGACTGAGATAGGGCAGTTGAGGCACAGAGAGGTGAAATAACACAGCTAATAAATGGTGGAGCAAGGCTAAAAATCCAGGCACTCTGGCTCCAGAGTCCATGATCTTATAAAATGTTATTATTTTGCCTCTCCATTATATGGTAGAGTTTGGACTTGAAGAAATGCAAATGAAATGGACTCACAAGGCATTCCAGGCAGTGGGAGTGACAAAAAAGCCTGAAGGTAGTAAACATGGGACAGCCACTGGAAACTGAATGGGTTAGTTAAGCTGGAAAAAAGAAGTCTATATATCAGGAGGAGCAACTGGAAATGAGATTTGAGAAGTGGGTTAATTTATTTTGATGATGGGGATGAGATACCACAGTCCAAGAATAAGTAATGGAGTCCAGCACTTGCATACGTGCAAAGATGGTTTTTTAGATGAATTTCTATGCAGATAAGGAAACACCCTCTTTTCTTGGTTTGGATCGACTTACGTTCAGGTACTAAAAACGCTGCTCTGTCCTCTTTTTTGCTTGTCCTTCAGAGTCACCTTGGTTTCAGGTGAAACTGTGCACCAGTGTATTTATTACCTTTGACCGAATACTTAACTTTTATTCTATTTTCTTAATCTAATTCTGAAGCAATTTGAAGTTATCTTTTCCAGGCTTTAAAAAACATCATAAATGTGCCCTGGCTGGTTTGCTCAATGATTGGAGTGTCGGCCTGCGGTCCAGAGAGACCCGGGTTCGGTTCCCGCTAAGGGCACGCACCTTGGTTGCACTTTGTCCCCGGCCCTGGTTGGGTCATGCAGGTGGCAGCCACTCGATGTGTCCCTTTCACGTTGATGTTTCTCTCTCTCTCTCTCTCCCCCTCTGAACAAAATATCAAAAAATAAATAAAGTAAAAATTAAAAACATGATAATGCTTAGAAATGGTTCTTCCCCTCTTCACATGCCATACCTTTCGGTTGAGAGCTTTCTGCATATGACATTTCTTTTCTATTCATGATGTGTGGTTTTTTTTCCCCTTTTTTGCTATGGTGCACATGTACTATAAGGTCAAACTCTATTACACCAACTTTAAAGAAAACTCTTCTCGTCTAAGCAACTGGGCTGTAAGAGTTGTGCTGCCTTGGCTGTTACCCACTGAGCAGTGTTCTGAGTACAACGAGGGAAATGCAGATTTTATATGCAGACTTCTGAATCCTCGAGCCAGAAGGACTTGCTCAGTGTTTTCATTTTACACATGAGAAAAGCGAGAAGAAAATGACTCCATCAAGGCTTCTGTAACATTCATTTGGCACCTTGCTTTTAGTAACATCTTCTCCCAAGCCCCTGGCTTTCCCCCTGCTACAACTTTTTATGTTTTAATTTAATTAAAATACCACCCTTTCAATTTTTGCTATATCTTTGTGTCTCAGATACCAATATTGACTTTATATATTCTTAAAATCAACTCATTTTTAAAGTGATTTTAAAAGAAACATTGAAATAATTTTGTAAATGAAAAATTAGTAATTTTGCCATGAATAACAATAGCTACTACTTATATAAAGCTTATTATGTGCTACATTTTATTCTAAGCTTTTTATATAATAACTTAATTCTCATAATAACTCAGTGTGGTAAACACTATAGGTAGGTAGTATTATCAGTCTGTTTTATGGTTAGGAAATATAGAGGTTAAGTAACTTGCCCCAGATAACTAATTAGCCAGTGCCAGAATTAGGATATGAATCTAGATAGTATGGTTCCAGGGTCTGTATTCTGGGAACATTCTTGAATAAAATAGAAAGTTCTTAAGAAAATATGTGATTATTTAAAACATAAATTCTATATCCCACCTAACTCCACTTTTAGAAACATTGATTTCGGAAATTGGTTTGGCAGTTTGTTATACTTTGGAAATACTCAGAGGAAGTATTAAGTGAGGGAGGGTGACTAGAATTCATTCGGAGTTAGTTGAGATCTTAGAGTAGTGTTGTACCAGGTTATGTCTTGTTAAGAATTTTGGATAAACAAATCAGCAAAGCACTAGGTTAAGTAAGTATGAGACTGAATTGAAGTGCTATGCTGCAGGCAAGTGTTTGCCAAATCCAGCTGGTTCTCAGAATCCTCTGGGGATCTTATTACGTAAACAGATTCCTGGGCCTCACCCTTGGAGTTTTTTATTTGTTAGTGCAACATAGATTAGAGAGACCCCAGTGAAGAATTTAGTGTCTGACACACTAAAGCAGTCATATTGTTAATAGTAACAACTGTTTTATTGCATGCTTACTTTGTACTAAGTGTTTTGTGTGCATTATCTTATTTATTTCCCATAACAACTCTTAGGAGGTAGGTTCTATTTTCATGCCTCTCTTTCAGATGAGGAAAGAGTCACTAAGAGGTGTCTAATATGCAGAACCAGGATTTGAACTGTCATCTTCTTAATCACTATGATCCTACCCCACACTGCTGTTACCATTGTTTACTTTGGCAAACACAGTTTTTGAGTTTGACACTAGCTGTTTGCAACTCTCCCAAATTTCTAGTGATTTCACTTCAACTCATGGTTTCTAGAGAAGCAAAGCATAGGAGACATTTGATGTGTTCTCTTTTACCCTCTTTATTTTTTAGAAAGGGAGGCTGTGAGAAGAGGAATGTGGCTTGCCCATTTTTGAAAGGTGATGGCAGAACTGAGATTAGGTCTCTTAACTTCTAGTCTTGAACTTTTATAGTAGCACAGACTGCCTCCCAGAGCTCAGATGCAGCTTGTCTGCCTTCCCCTGTTGTTCCCCATTCATGTTGTCTGGGTGCTTAGGCTTGCTGTCTCTGTGTCCTTACTGTGTTTCTAATGCTCTCCCGCCTGTGGCTGATAGGTGGCAAGGAGACAACCTGCTTGGGCAGCAGTGGGCCACGAGGCAGAGATGAAATAAGGGCTCTTGGGAGAGAGGTGGAGTGATGAAAGCCTTGAGCTCCAGGGTGTGAAATGTGAACTTGGTGCCGACATCTAGTGGGGGAGCTGGGGCACTGTGGAGGTGGATATGGTATCAGTGAGGCCAGTGAGTAATTTTAGCAGTGATATTTTAGGGATGACTTGGGGAGACCAGCATGCTCCCCCCTCCCCCCCATACCCCCGGAGATAACATTGCTTCCCAGTAATTTCCTAACTGCTCTGGATAGGCCTGAGAACTTATCCCTGGGCACATGGGGGGCATATCCTGCCTTAGGGAGACGTGCTTACCCACATTATACTTTAGTTTCATATTCTACCAAGTTACTTCGGAGCACTTGTGAAAATCATGAAAGAATTGTTTTGTTACTTTTTCATTCTCCTTTCTCCACTAGAATGTGAGTTCCCTGAGAGCAGGGACATGAATATCTGCGTTGTTCCCTTCTCTATCTCCAGAACCTAGCATCACAGCATAGGCACTCCAGTATTGAATAACTGAGTGAATGGCAGTACAAGCTGACATACTCCAGCCCGTGCTTCTAGCCCGTGTTGGACACTTGGAAGACAGAGATGGAATATGAAACAGCCCTGGTCCTCAAAGCTTTCAGTCTGTCTGGCAGAGCAGATTGACATAAACAAATTAATGAACCTTCTGTTCATTCAATTATTATTTCTGCCCTGGCTGGTTTGGCTCAGCAGTTAGAGCGTCGGCCTGCGGACCAGGTAGTCCTGGGTTCCATTTCAGCCAAGGGCACATGCCTTGGTTGGGGTTGTGCAAGTGGCTACCAATCGATCTCTCTCTCTCTCTCTCTCTCTCTCTCTCTCCCCCCCCTCCCACTCTGAAGATAAATGTAAAAATATTCTCAGGTGAGCCCTGGCTGGTTTGGCTTAGTGGTTGGAGCGTTGGCCTGCGGTCCAGAGAGACCCGGTTCAGTTCCTGCTAAGGGTGCGTACCTCAGTTGCAGTTTGTCCCCAGCCCTGGTTGGGTCGTGCAGGTGGCAACCACTCAATGTGTCCCTTTCACGTTGATGTTTCTCTCTCTCTCTTCCTCTCTCTCTCTCCCTCCCACTCTATCTGCACAGAAAGTGGAAAAATGTCCTCGGGTGAGGATAAAAAAAAAAATTCTTGGGTGAGGATTAAAAAACAAACGATTATTTCCTATAGTTGCCTTGGAGAATACAGTGGAATTCAACTGACAACATTCCTGCCTTCAGGGAGCTTATAACTTAAAAAAACCAAAAAACTTAAAATAGCATACAAGAAGCCTCTTTCATTTCTAAAAACCCAGTTGCCTTCTCTTTATTTTTGATTGAGCCCCCAGTTGGCTTTGATTGCAGTAGAGATGGGGTGTGGGTGGATGGTTGCAGCAAAGTTGCTTTTCATAAATCACCTTTCCCTCTCTCCCAACGAATTAAGAGGATTGATCCCACGGGTAAATATCTCTTTCATGGCTTACTTTATAGAGGTTTCCATTGCTTTCCTATTTAAAAGAATTTTATAATTGATTTTAGAGAGAGAGAGAGAGAGAGGAAGGGACATACACACACACACACACACACACACACACTGATTTGTTGTTCATTCATTGATTGCATTATTTTATGACCTGCAACCTTGGTGTATCAGGGTGATGCTCTAACCAACTGAGCTACCCAGCCAGGACCTCCATTGCTTTTCTTTTAAAATGTGTGTCTCTTTGCTGGATGAATTTAGAGAGGGGGAAAAATAGGAAAAGAGGCATTATTTTAGAATGAAATGAGTCCTCAGGTATTTAATTCCAGTACTTTGTTTAATGGAGAAAAACAAATAAAACCCAAGACCTGAAGTCTATCTAATGTGCCTAAGGTTGTAGCAACTGGCATCAGAGCTGGGTGAGAACAGACCTCTGGCTCCCTGTTCAGTATTCTTATTCCCACACATCCTGGGTGTGTTCGAGTAAGAGGCTGGTGTCCACTTGTCTAGAATGTTTGATTTTGTTGTTTTATGGTAAACATTATTTGAAAACCCCATTTCATGGACTTTTGTCACTCAGATTACAAATTCTGCTATATTGGGTTTCACTATGCTAGAGATCATGGCTTTATTTAGGAAACATGTAAGAACTTTCACAGCAGGTTCTGCATTCCCTTTGTAGTGGTCACCTTGGGAGCATATACATTTTTTCCCAGTGATTGATATTATGCAGCGCATTTTGGAAAAGCCACTTGTCTTAGATCCTGTGGCACAGTCTTTTGGATCTCTTTAGTGATGGTAAATCTTCATATTTCAAAGATTAATTTGCTTTTAGAAGCTGGTCTAAAGTTATTTGGAACTAAAACTTCAGAACAGTCCAAGATATAGGTCTGGAAACAGTTTTGTTTAATTAAAAGTAAAGATTGAGTGACTGCCTTGTGTGGCCAAAAAATTGACTTTGAAAGTCACTCTTAAGAAAGACATTCCAAACGAATTTTGAGCAGTTGCAGCATTATTGGAATTAAGAAGTCTCCCAAGATGTAAATTAGAATCCAAGAGTCTTAGAATCCAAGGTATAAATTCTGTTGTTATATTCATTCAACAAACATTTACTGAATGTTTGGCCTTATACTTGCCAAAGTCAGTGTTAGGTGCTAGGGATTGATAGAATACCAGTCCCCACCCTCGAAGCACTCATAGGCCAACACAAGCAGACGAACATCTATATACCCAAGCACCTTGAAGTTCTATATGTGCTATGGTAGGACTATACACAGGGAGAGAGGGATCAGTTCTATAGGTTCTGGGAGTTGGAGAGATCTATTGAAAGGCTTTATAAAGAAGAAATGCTTCAGTGGAGGCTTGAAAACAAGGGTTAAGTACTTTTAAGCAGCTGAGAGAGAGCATGCACAAGGAAAGGTACTAAGTTGAGGACCAGTGTTACATTTTGGCAGCTGCCAGTAGTTCATTGTGTTTGGAGGGTCATGCGTAAGGAGGGGTGAGAGGTAAGGCTGGAGAATCAGGCAGGATACCAGATTATGAAGCACATGTACTTCATGCCAAGGCATTTGTTATATTGTTGTAGGTAGCATTATAGAATTTTGTAAGTAGGAGCCATTAGAGAATTTTAAGTCAGAAAGTAATGTTATCAAATAATGCTTTAGAAAAAGAATTCTGACTGTATGTACAGAGGATGGATTGGAGGAATGAGATGAGAAGCTGAAAAAACGATCAAGAGGCTGGTGAATAGTATAGGCAATTGATGATGTGGCCTGTGGTATGGCAGTGAAGAGTTAGAGAGGAAGCAGAATAGAGAGCTGATGGGGTAACAGAAGCATGTGAGAGAGGATTTTTTAAATTGATCTGGTCATACACTTCATTCAAAACAGCAGCCCAAGAGATAAGATTTTGTAGTTAGTGTTAATTGCCAGAGAATAAATTCTATGAGAATTCAAAGTGTTTATGGAAGGGACATCTTTTTTATTTCGTTTTTAAGGGATTGGAGTATAGAAAGGAAGAGAAACAACAAAATATTGGCATTAGTTTATTTTCTGTTTTGGTATTTTTCATAAATACCAAAAAAAGATTTTGATGGATTTTATTTATACTGAATGTACAACTTAAACTATGTCTTTGTTATTTGCTACTCTTCTATTGTGATAATCCACCTTACCTCTGCCTAAAGGGCCGAGGCGTGCAAGGTCTGCTACTTTGTTTGCCATGCTGAATCCTCCTTAATGGCTTACTGAAGCGGGAGTGTGAGCACCTGAGGGGCTCTTCGGTGGGGCTTGGAGGGAGCGGCACAAAGACTGTCTTATAAACTGAGAAATTGGCAAGCTCTTTCTGTAATTCATATGGAAATGTAACCCAGAATAGCCAAACACTTTGAAAGAGGAAAACCAAAGCTGGAAGATACACATTTCCTGATTTCTAAACCTATAACAAAACTACAATAATGAAGACATTGGCATAAGTATATGCATCTGGATCAGTGGAATAGAATTGAGTGTCCACAAAGAAACCCTCACATTTATGGTCCGTTTTTTTGTTTTTGTTGTTCTTTATTGATTTTTTAGAGAGAGAGGAAGGGAGAAGGAGAGAGAGAGAAACATTGATGAGAGAGAACATCAATTAGCTGTTTCCTGCCTGCCCACTGGGGATTGGGCCCACAGCCTGGGCATCGGGCCCACAACCGGGGCATGTGCCCTGCCTGGGAATCGAACTGGCGACCTCTTGGTACATGGGTTGTTGCTCAACCACTGAGCCACACCAGCTGGGCGGTCAGTTGTTTTTGTTTGTTTTTTTTGACAAAGGTGCCAAGACAATTCAATAGGGAAAGAAGAGTTTTTCAATAAATGGTGCTGGAATAACTGCAGAAGAATAAGTCAGACTATGCCTTAACAGCAACAAATAAATTAATTAGAAATAAATCGTAAACCTACATGTAGGAATCAAAAACTATAAAACTGCTAGGAGAAAACACAGGAGTAAATCTTATGACTTGAATTTGTCACTAGTTTCTTAAAGATATGTCAGAAAAGCAGACATGACAAAAGAAAAAAAAACAAAACAAATTGGACTTCAAAATTAAAAACTTTTGTACTCACAGTACACCATCAAGAAAGTAAAAGACAACCCACAGAGTGAGAGAAAACCTTTGCTGAAAGTATATTTGACGAAAAACATATCCAGAATATAAAAACCTATTACAACTCAATAATGAAAAGCCAACCAAGTTAAAATGTGGGCAAGCCTACAGCACTGTGAGAAAATAAATTTTTTGTGTAAGCCAAAAAAAAAAGGGGTGATTTATCTAGTGGATATTGTTCTGGGATGTCTAATTTTGTTTATTCCTTCCAGGGTGTTCCTGAAAAGAAAGTACTTCCAATCACTCTTCCCAAATCACCAGCCTTTGCATTAAAGAACAGAATCAGAATACCCACCAACGATGAGGTGATTTTCTGGGGAGTTTCTTCTTACTTCTGCATAATCAATCCAAGCATTACTCTTTCTTAAAACTTAATGGAATTCAAAGACAGTCACTCTTGTCTGGAGTTGTCTTTAACAGTGGGCATAAACATTTGATCATGTGTTTTGCAACTACAAGAGCAAAGGAGTTGTTGTGAATCATCTGGCTTGTAGTGGTAATTCTTTGCAACTTATTAGAGGCCTGTCCTCTGAGGAGATGAGAGTGAGCAGTCTTGTTTCTAAACTGCAGTTTTTCTCCTAGGAAGAGGAACCGGTAGTGATAAGAGCTCAACCTGTGCCACATTTTGGGGTGCCTTTTAAGCCCACTATCCCAGAGGCAAAAACTGTGGAAATATGCCCTTTCTCTTTTGATTCTCGAGACAAAGAACGCCAGTTACAGAAGGAGAAGAAAATAAAAGAACTACAGAAAAGGGAGGTAGGTATCTCCATTTCTATAAGTAGCATAACACTATTCCTTGATTCCCCCAAAGATAATCTTTCATGTTGCACTTTTATAAAATCACTGACTTCTGTTGGTCCCCTCATAAGAACCTTATGACGTATAAATAGGGCAAGTAATTTTAATAACCTTTCTGACACAAGGAGGTTAAGTGACTTGCCCGCGATTACATTGCCATTGCTGGCAATATTGGGAGGAAAACAGGTTTCCTTTTAAGCCCATTACTCTTTCTGCTACACCATACTGCTTTGAAAACTGGCCTTTCCTATTTTTTAGATTTAGATTCATCCAAATATTCTGGTGCAGCTATTGCTTTCTGGCTAGAAAGGCCATATCTTAAATCTTATGTTTTCTTTTCTATCAGGTGCCCAAATTCAAGGCACTTCTTTTGCCTGATTTTGACACTGTTAACCTGCCAGAGAAGAAGGTGAAGAATGCAACCCAGATTGAGCCTTTTTGCTTGGAGACTGACAGAAGAGGTGCTATAAAGGCACAGACTTGGAAGCACCAGGTGAGGAATTGGGAAAGCAGCTAAGATATTAATGGCTTGCTTGTTGATTTGTTAGAATGGTTAGACCCACCCCGGTACATTGAAATTCATCGGGAAACTGACACACTGGATTGTTTTCAGAGTTTCCGCCCTAAATTTGGGGTCAGCAAACATTTTCTTTAAAAAAAAAAAAAAAAAAACAGTAAATATGTATTTTAGGTTTTGTAGGCTACATATGATCTCTGTTTTTATATATATATCTATATATAGATATATAGATAGTGCGTGTGTGTGTCAACTCTCTATTTTTTTTTTTAATCCTCATCTGAGGATATTTTTCTATTTATCTTCAGATAGGGTGGGAGGGAGGGAGAGAGGAACATCAACATGAGAGGGACACATCAACTGGTTGGCCTCCGGCACAACCTCAACCAGGGTCGGGGATGAACCACAACTGAGGTACATTCCCTTGACTGGAATCAAACCTGCAACTCTTTGGTCCATAGGCCGACGCTCTAACTGCTGAGCCAAACCAGCCAGGGCTCAACTCTTTAAAACTGTAACAACTATTCTTAGCAGAAAGAGGTTGTAAGCTGGCTGAAGGTTGCTGATCTCAGCTCTAAGTGTTCATCCAGGGAATGTGAGAACTGATCGGCTTTTTTGTATCAGGAGTTTCTTTGTATTAGACTTGTTTATTAAATGTTCACTCAACCCAACTGGTGTGGCTCAATGGATTGAGTGTAGTCCCATGGACTGAGAGGTCCCAGTTTGATTCCCAGTCAGGGCACATGCCCAGGTTTCGGGCTCAATCACCAGTGGGGGACATGCGGGAGACAGCTGACTGATGTTTCTCTCTCTCTCAAATATAAATAAAAACATTAAAAAAAAAGTTCACTTGTTTCTGTTGGTGCTTTGATAAGAAATAGAATGGTGAGCCCCTGTACCTCAAAAGGTGGTAGGTTCAATTCCTGATCAAGGCACATACCCAGGTTGCAGGTTCAAGCCCCAGTTAGGGTGTGTGTAGGAGGGCAACTGATCCATGTTTCTCTCACATTGATGTTTCTCTTTCTCCTTCCCTCTCTCTCTTCCTGTCTCTTAAAATAAAAAAAGAAAAGAAATAGAATGGTGAAACAATATGGTATGCTGTTTTATCAATATTGTGCTATTTGCTCTTTATAAATGACAGGTAGTTGAAAACAATTAATTGATGGTTGGCTGCTTTAATTCGAATCTAATTCTGCCCTATCTGGAAAAAAAGTTTCCTGAATCCATTAAGTTTGTTGGTATTTTTGCATGGTCACTTATCTTAGACTCTGTCCAAAAGGAGCTCTGGGCTGATTTTTGTAGGAAATCATTCCTCTTGAAGACCAAGAAATGTGATTGCTAACATGAATGAGAGTAGGCCTCTTGCTGGTGGTGTTTTCTAGGAAAACTTGGGACTGTTGCTTTGAAAGTACTAGTGAATCTTTCAAGGACTGTGATATGGGGTGTTTATGGGGGGTATTTTTTCATAATAAAAAAACTTTTTAAGTTTTTCAGACATATACAAAAGTAGAATAGTGTAATGAACTTTTATGGACCTGTAACCTGGTTCTATAGTGATCAAAACATAGAAAATCTTATTTCATCTGTATGTCTATCTACTTATCTCTATACTGGATACTTCTACCTACACTGGATTACTTTGAAGCAAACCCTAGATGTCATCTCATTTCATCCAAAAATATTTCAGTGTATATCTTTAAAATATAAGGTTTAAGCTTGGCCAGCATGGTTCAGTGGTTGAGCGTCGACCCAAGCACCAAGAGGTCACCGGTTCAATTCCCAGTCAGGGCACATGCCCAGGATGTGGGCCCAATCCCCAGTGGAGGCATGTAGGAGGCAGCCAGTCGATGTTCTCTCTCATCGATGTCTGTATCTCTCCCTCTCCCTTTCTCTCTTTCTAAAATCAATAAAGAAAAAAAAAAGTTATATGAGGATTTACAACTGTGTGGAGTGTTGCTGCCCCTAATCAAGGGTCAACTGTATCTTAATGATACTTTCTAGTTCTTGGTGGGTTTAGATATTGTCAGTCTGATCTATTCACTGTAAAGGGGGTTTTAACGGGTTTAGATTAAATCATCTGCTGTCTTTGTTGACGAAACAGTTAGAAACATTAGAACTCGGGTCACGGAGGTGGTAAATATGGCAAGTTGTCTGATAGACTTTCTTTCTAATAGCTGGAGGAAGAACTGAAACAGCAGAAGGAAGCAGCTTGTTTCAAGGCTCGTCCAAACACCGTCATCTTCCAGGAGCCCTTTGTTCCCAAGAAAGAGAAAAAATCCTCATCTGGTAGCTACATGTGCTCTTAGATGTGCCTTTGGGAGATTGGGGCAACATTGTCGGACTTCCCAGGGGGGTGGGGAAGTTCCTGGAATTCAGTTTTGCCCGTACAGTGCTGTGTCAACCAGAAGCACTTGCCTGTAGAGGATCTAGTTTTTCTCCCCCTAGACCCAGTCTTTTGCCTTTGTCGAACCCAGCAGCTATGTTGAGTTGCAGAATGTGTTGGGGCCTGATTCATAGAGCAAGAGCCTGGGCAGAGGCAACTGGCATTTTGATAGCAGTTATAGGCTTTGCCCACCTAAAGAGTAACCAGTAAGTGAGGGAGGAAGAGCTAGGACTTCTTTCTGGAGTTCACCCTGAAGCAAGCCTTAGATACAAAACATTTGATTCCTTAAGCACTGAGCGGGTTGTCAGAAAATTGGGATTCTTCCTCTATATCTATCTGTCTCAAAATCATGGTGTGGTTTTGAGCGAGCTGCTTCACCTATGTGGGTCTTGCTTTTCTCCTAATTAGTTGATTACCAGGGGCCCTTCCAACTCATAAAATTTTGACTCCACCTTTGTTTCAATAAGGCCTTTCTACTGCCATGCATGTGTGTGCCTCATGCTGGCTCTGTGGAGGCCGGGTTTAGGCAAGTCCTGCTTGTGTACCAATATTCTCTCTGTTTCTGTACTCAGAGGGCCTTTCTGGTTCTCTAGTTCAGGAACCTTTTCAGTTGGCCACTGAGAAGAGAGCCAAGGAGCGACAAGAGATGGAGAAGAAAATGGCTGAGGTGGAAGCCCAGAGAGTCCAGCAGTTGGAGGAGGCCAGGCAGCAGGAGGAAGAGGAGCAGAAGAAGGAGCTGGCCAGGCTACGGAAAGAACTGGTAAGTGGGCAGCAGGAACGCTGACTAACCCAAGGTTGTCTCTGTTTTGTTTTATCTGTACTTTGTCTTGCCTCAGAAAGGATCTTAGGTGTAAGGTGGCTATAAGGACACGTCAAAGACGAGGGAAAGCAGGAAATCACAGAAATCGAGGGTGGTGACAAAGTGGAGATGTGAATGAGGCTTAAGATGTGTACATTGTAATTCATGTGTCTGCTAAGTTTGAGTCCTAGGCACCAACCTGTGAGTTAAAAAACTCACAGTGTTAGTGAGATGAAAACAAGCTAGTTGTTTTTAAAAAATGCATTTATCCTTAGTATTGAATTCAGACAGAATTTCTTCCAAGGGTCTCCATACGGAGGAAATCATATGGCATAACTGCACACAGTGATGCATTATTTAACTGATTTTTTATTATTTCCTTAAGGCTTAAGAAAAACAATGTATTTTACAATTAGACATGAATGCGTGACTAGGGAAGGACATGAGAATTGGGCAGTAACTGTATTTTCATTTTTCTCTTAATACTTGACTCAGATTCCTTGGAGTTACAGTGCATATCGGTTCACATGACCCTCTGTGCTAACACTAGCATAATGATTTAAATATCAGTTATCCAAAAAGAAAGCTGAATTCACATTAAGAGCCCTTTCACTAGGAGGGCAGCAAGCCACATTAACTGTATCAGTGAGGAAGAAGACAATTTTAGATGGAACTTCGTATGATTAACAAAAGAATAAATACAGAAATACACAAGTTGTTGAGGTTTTGTCAAAGTGCTAAGCCAGCAGCTCGTATGGTGGCTGGCAGAGGTGACTGGCTGTGGGAAGGCTCTAGGGACAAACTTGTTAAAAGGACTAGCTTCTTGGCAAAATTCAAACTACTATTTTCTGATTGAATGAAAGACAAACAAACAATAAAATCCTCACAAAACGAACCTTTTTTCCACCCTCAGGTTCTTTGATTTTTCTTCAACACTTCGTACCTGTTTCTTGCGTTTGTCTCCAGCAGGGAACTGTTTCTTACAGCGAGTCTCAGCATAGGCTGCTAGCACAGTTCTGTCAGCACTAGTTAGCTCTCTATACCTGGCTTGATTTAGGCTGCCCAGAGAATGGATGGGACCAGGCATTCTGCCAGCACCCTTCCTAGTTGTTGTTTTTGTCTGTGCCTTTGGTGAATATTAAGACTCAGTAAGCTGCCCTGGCCGGTTTGGCTCAGCGGTTAGAGCATTGGCCTGCGGTCCGGAGAGACCCGGGTTCGGTTCCCGCTAAGGGCACATCCTTCGGTTGCAGTTTGTCCCCGGCCCTGGTTGGTCGTGCGGGTGGCAGCCACTCGATGTGTCCCTTTCACGTCGATGTTTCTCTCTCTCTCTCTCTTCCTCTCTCTCCCTCCCACTCTATCTGTACAAAAAATGGAAAAATGTCCTCGGGTGAGGATAAAAAAAAAAAAACTCAGTAAGCTTAAGACTGTACTTTAACCAATTCTTAACATCTGTCTCTTCTCTGCTGCAATTGAGTACAGTACAGTAATAAACACTCAAGCTGGATCTAGGGTTGACATTCTTTTGTTGTTACTTGTCACTCGAAGATATTTGTCCATTGATCTTTTAGAGAGAGTGAAAGGGAGGGAGGGAAAAACAATCGGTTGCCTCCTGCATGACACCGATCTGGCATGTGCCCCTTGACTGGAATCAAACCTGCTATCCTTTGGTCCTCAGGCTGACACTCTAACCACTGAACCAAACCAGCCAGGGCAGGTTTGACATTCTTTTCTGTAAGCTGAGGGATCCAGAAAGACCTGAATAGAAACCTACTTGGGCTCCAAAGTTCATGTGCTTTTCCATTACACTGTGTTGCCCTTTTTTCCACTCTCTTTGAATTAGCGACTGGGATCTGCAAAACTGGACACATGTTTTCTCAAGAAAAATAATAGCTATAAGCATAGTTTTCCAGCATCCTTATCAGTGATAACTTTATTTTCCTTACTTTGCAGGTGCACAAGGCAAACCCAATACGCAAGTACCAGGGGGTGGAGGTAAAGTCAAGTGACCAGCCTCTGACTGTGCCTGTATCTCCCAAGTTCTCCACACGATTCCACTGTTAAACTCAAGTTTGAGCTTCAGACACCACCTGGGAACGAGCTGCTTTTTCCATCAAACCAGGAGCCTTCTTTCTCTGTCACGGGGGCATGGAGAGAACCCATTTCTTCAGACTTATACCTACCTGGGCCTGTCAGAGCATACCTAATAAGTGTGGACTTTAATTTTGTTGAGAATTGTTATCCTGCATTATTGAGGCTAATAATGAGACTCAACTCATACATATCTCGTTCAGACTCCATGTAGTTATTTCCTTTGAACCATCAGTTGACGTTTAAAATGGGTTTTAACTTTGAAGTCTATATCAGCACTAAGTAATTTCTGTTACCCCTTTCCTCCCCCTTTGCCTTTTTTTTTTTCTATTTTAAATCAGAGAATAAAGATAGTTAAATACTGAGATAGGATTTAAGTCATGGCTTCAATGAGGAACAATCAGTATTCAGATTCTTTCCTCTTCTCTGCACAAAATGGAGTTAGAATTAAGAAGTCCTTTGCCAAGTGGGGGAAAGCCGCATCAACTGCACAGCGAGGAAGAAGACTGCGTGGACTGCGGGGAGCCGCACGGCAGCCACCGCTGAGCTTTGGGCAGGGCTGCTGCTCTTCGGGCACATTCTTCCCTTGTGGGTGCTGACAACGGGAGTGCTGTGCACACACGTTCTAAGTCCGCTAGCACCCTGGACTGGAATAAATGTGTTTGTCTTCCCCTCCCTGTTTTTGTTATTTGATGTTTTAAAATTTGTCAAGCCCTTCCGAGGTCACATCTTGTTGGGGAAATGGGTACTTTAAGAGGAAGGTCTAGGAACTTTTAAAAGCACAGGCTCGCCCTGGCTGGTTTGGCTCAGCCGTTAGAGCGTCAGCCTGCAGTCCAGAGAGACCCGGGTTCAGTTCCCGCTAAGGGCATGTACCTAGGTTGCAGTTTGTCCCCGGCCCTGGTTGGGTTGTGTGGGTGACAGCCACTCGATGTGTCCCTTTCATGTTGATGTTTCTCTCTCTCTCTCTCCCTCTCTCTCCTGCTCTGTCTGAAAAAAAATGGAAAAATGTCCTCAGGTAAGGATTTAAAAAAACAACACACACACAGGCTCTGGCCCGGCTGGTGTGGCTCAGTGGTTGAGCCTAAACCCATGCACCAAGAGGTCACCGGTTCAATTCCCAGTCAGGACACATGCCCAGGTTGTGGGCCCGATCCCCAGTGGGGGGCATGCAGGAGGCGGCCAGTTGATGTTCTCTCTCATTGAAGTTTTTGTCTCTCTCCCTCTCCTTTCCTCTCTCTCTCAAAATAAAGAAAAAAAATTTTTTTTAATAAAAGCACAGGCTATGTCCCTAATGAAAGTGCTTTATGACTCTTCTGTCATATGTCAGAATATCCTTCCATATTTGTTGACTTCCTCCCAGGAACCACTCTGGAAGGCAATGCTGTATGTTATGCTTTTGCATAACTGTGTCTTCTTCCCTAAATGTGCTTTTTCTCACCTGGTAAACTCTTCCTTATAAGACTCAGCTCAAGCAAAATCTTCTTTATAAACCCTTCCTCGACCATCTGACCTGCTCAGATAAGGATGATCACTTATTTTCCAGTGCCTCCCAGATGCTTCTTGTGTAGATACAGAGTACAGCGATTACACCACTGAGTTACTTGTACTTGTTTTTACAAACTAGGAGAGACACATCTAAAATTATTTTAGTAAGCTATTTCTCATAGCTGGCACAGAATTTGCGAGATCCATGTTAAATAGTATCTTTTCTTTTAGACTTGACATTATTTATGAACTCTGCTCTATCCAGTCATATTATGCTCAGGCCAGTCCTGGGCACCATAAAAAACAACAAACCTATTTTATATTCCTTTTGTTTATTCATTCAATGAGCATTCTGTACGAGCCATTGTAGATTCAGCAAGATATGATTTGCAGATCCCTGGGCCTCCTGCAGCCCCACAAACTGAGGCAAAATATGGTTCCTTTATTTACTTCCTAGATGTATATGGTATACAGTTCAAGAACTACTTATGTTGTTCATTTAACAAATAATTTGGTGCCAACTGCATATAACTTGGCATTGTGCTAGTCTCTGGGAATATAGCAGTGAACAAAAACTGAGGACCTTGTCTTCATGGAGATTTTACGAGGGGAGACAGACAAGTAACTGTCCTGTTCTGTCAAGTGATACATATTTCCCTGGCTGTTGCTATGTGGAGAATAGACTGGGGCGGGGAGCTGCAGCAAGTGAAATAGACGGAGGTCGAGGAGTTTCTTGCCGTTGTCCAGGTGAGAGCTGATAGTGGTTTGGGCTTGCATGGTAGTAGTGGAGGTGGTGAGAAATGGTTGGATTTGGAATGGATTTTGAAGCTGTAACTGACAAGACTTGTTAACAGATTGGATGTGGAGAGTAAGAGGAAGGGGAGTTAAGGAGGGCACCCAGGTATTAGCCCCAAACAGAGACAGAGTTCTCCATCCCTTGTAATCTGAGAAATTCACTTCTACCCCAGTCCTCACATCTCTCGTGGATTCTCTGGGGGGCTTCATTTTCTTTTTCTGGTCATCTCGCTTTGGTTTTTATTTATATTCGTCTCTTGATCCCCTTTCTGTCCTGTGTAGTTTTTCTTCCTACCAATACCAGCCTTTCCCCTTCTAATAGTTTACTATCATTCATATATTTTCATCTGGTGTAACTTTTTTTTGGTGTCCATTTTTTGGTTTTGGTTTCAGAATAAATCTGGCCCTCAAGTTGAGGGTTTTGGATAGAGCATTATTGAGGATTATGGACCTGTGGGATCCTTTCATCCCATTTGCTTCATTCTGGATTACCACCTCCAGAAACACCCATGTCAGAGTGGTAATGTGTGATGGTCTTTTAGAGGCAACAAAGAGGGATTACATTACTTCCGAGCAGATAGCTTGAAACGGAGACGCAGGTGTCCATTGCCTCTTGCTTCCGAGAATTTCTGTTTTCCAGTGGCTCTCTCTTCTCCTCAGCACAGTCTGTCTAATATTGAGTCCTCTCTCTGGACTACCTCACCTGACCTTCATTTTTGTAGTACGACTCCCATTTCCCCTAAATCTCAATTTCTCCACTTTTACAGAGAAACTCAGGTTCTTGATCCTTCAGGCCATGGCCAGAAGGAGCCTCTCAACACCCAGTGCAATTTTTCCTAACAAAGAACATGCTCTCAGATAGAAATTTACTGATTTCCGAGAAATCTGGCTGTCACACTGCTTGGCAATTTTGCAAAGTTCCTAGCACACATGCATTGTTGGGATTCCCACAATTTCTGGGAAGAACTCTGTTTTCTGCATTGTTTTGACTTGGTCATGGTTTCCCATTGCTAATAGTCCTATGCTAATTTACACTTAGAAGAAGATTATTCTCTTTTTTAGTTTTAGTATATTTTTATTGATTTTTTTTAGAGAGAGAACCATCGATGTGAGAGAAACATCGATCAGCTCCCTCCTGCACACCCCCTACTGGGGATTGAGCCCACAACCCGGGTATGTGCCCTGACCAGGAATCGAACTGGGACCTCTCAGTCCATGGGACCATGCTCAGTCTACTGATCCATAGCTGCCAGGCTTATTGTTCACTCAACTTTGGCTGATTGTTTTGTTCTTGTTTAATTGCTTTGTTACCATCTTGACTGTTGTTTTCATTCTTACTGGTTCTTTTCTATAGTTTGTCCTGGAAAGTGGAGCTTGAGTGGTAGACAGGCTGCAGAGATGAGACTGGTACACCAGCAATTGTAACAATATGAGATGTGACTGAACAATGTGAGACTGAAGGAGCAAGTGCTGAGGGAGATTCTTGTTGGAGGCGAGGTGGCAGGGTTGTTTTTGTTTGTTTTTTAAATTGACTTTAGAGAGAGGAAAGGAGACAGAGAAACATTGTTGTTCCACTTACTTATGCATTCATTGGTTGATTCTTGTATGTGCTCCGACCAGGGGTCAAACTCACAACATTGGCGTCAGGATAATGCTCTAATCCACTACCTGGCCAGGGTGAGGTTGCAGTTCTTAAAGATGCTTCTTTTTTCTTTTTAAAGTAAAAGTTACAAAACAATACTTTTGGAAACAAAACAACTGATTATATGGAATAAAACACAAACTTCTCCTGACTTCCCCTATTCCCATTCCCTGGGGGTAACCCATAGTTAACAGCCGTGTAGTCTTCCAGAAGGCTTTTTATGTACACAGAGATTTCTAGAATATTTTTCTTTTTATAACAATATTATAGAATTCTGCATTTTATTTTTTTTCTTTGAAAGGTTACACATTCACATGGTTCAAAATTCAAAAGCTACCAAGATAAAGTCTTCCACTTTTTGCTCCAGCGGCTCCCTCCCCAGAGATGGCGCTGCCAGGTGTCCCCTTGCAGAGATGGCTTCTGCAGATACAGATTCCTACCTCCTCTCTCATTTATGTATTTATTTTTTAATCCTCACCTGAGGATATTTTTCTGTTTATCTTTAGAGAGAGAGGGACGGAAGGAGAGGGAGAGAGACACACTGACTGCTTGCCTCCCACACGACTCTGGCCAGGCCAGGGACGAACTGCAACCGAGGTACGTGTCCCTGACCGGAATTGAACCTGCGACTCTTTGGTCTGCGGGCCTTCGCTCTAACTGCTGAGCCAAACCAACCAGGGCCTCTCTCTTATTTTTACACAAATAGTGTCATACTCTACACCCGACTTCCCGCTCATCATATGTTCTGCATTGAATGATGTGGTTCAGCTGCCACCCTGGGCACGTCCTGGCTTGCTCCCTGGCTGAAGGAAGAAGCCTCCTAATGAGAATCTAGTGACATGGAAACAGATCTGGAGTGGGGTAGTTCCTCTACATGATGTCCTGGGCTAGTGACATGGAAACAGATCTGGAGTGGGGTCTAGTTCCTCTACATGATGTCCTGGGCAAGTGACCTGAGATCCCAATGACTTGAGGGCAGGTCAGCAACACCTGGTCTTTTAGCCCCTGGCTTAGCTGAGCCTTGGGAGCCTATTGGCTCGCATATCTGGTCAAACCTGAATATCCTTTAGGTACATCTTGACATTGCTTTTCATTCCCCTCTGATTCTTGTCTGCTGGGGAAGTTCCTCATTGCTGAGAGTAGCAGTTAAAAAAGCCGTTAGCCACGCGGCTGGGCTCCTATTTCTGCACAGGCAGGCTGAGTTACAGCGTGGTGGTGTGGATCCAGGTAGGAATTGGTCAACATTTGGAATCCTGAGCTGCCATCTGCCCTGCAGCCTGCTGGGATGCTCAGTTTAGACAACGTATAAAGTTTCCTGGATACAGGACAAACCCAGGCCTATGGAAAGAGCAGGGAGGTTAAAGTGTGTGGTGCTTTGAGCAGTGACGAAGGCGTAACCAGGGAGCTGACATGTTTGCTCTGTCGCCAAGAATTCC